TTCATGAGACTGCCTTTCAGAAGGATGGCATTCCACAGTGGCACATACAATAATTTTTTATCACACCTTGTAAAGACGTGCAAGAGAGAACTTCTGGAGCTGCTTCAGAATGTGGCAAGAATGACAGAATGTGTTGGAAGCAAGGAAGAGTAGGGATTGAGCAGGGATTAATTCCAATACACTTTTTCCTCTTAATAAGTTTTTAAAATTTAAAATTTGCCAGGTATCTTAATCACAACTTATATAGTTTTATTATTAAAGTTTCTCAGATTGGTCTATGTTATGATTAGAATATGGACAATGTCTTTTAAAGGTCATTGTGTAACAGGTTAGTCTCTGTGGCAGCAGTATTGGGAGAGGTTCTATGTACATTTAAGAGTTCGGGTCTATTGGATGGTCCTTGTATCATAGGGATTGTTACTGAGAGTGAGAATTCAGATCATTTGGAGTTTTTCTGTTTCCTGGTTCATGATAAAAATGATGTGACCATTAATCATGATATGTCAGCTTGATTGGGTTAAGAAATGCCTAGACAGTGTCTCCCAAGATCCAGCCATGTTCGAATTTGGGGGCCAGAGCAAGAAAGCAATGAGCCCTCCTTCCTGTAAGTGGCAGCTGTGCAAGTGAGCAGTAGGAGCGCCAGTCAGAGAATGAGTAAGCGTCTCCCAAGATCCAAAGGTCTGAGCATCTCTTGGAAGGATGACCATATGCAACATGGCAAATATGTGGGATTTTCTTCTATCTTCTTTGAAGGCAAATATTGTTTTCACTGTTTTTATTTGTTCTGATTTCTTTGCTCTATTCAATATTCTGTTTTGATAGGTTTTACAATGTTCCATTTTTGGTTAGATTTTGCTATACCTGATTGAATGGACAACTATTGTGAAAATAGCAAGATATACTACCATACCTATTACCGTTATCTTGGTATCCTGCTCTGAAGTTCTGTACCAATTTCACTACATTGTCTTGATTGGCTTTGTTCTGTTGTATTTTGTTGTATTTTACTACCTTCAAAATAAAGACATAAAAATAAAAATAAATGCCTAGCAGATTATTGAAGCACACTTACAGTTATACTCATAGAAATGTGATGTTGAGTACCTACTATGTGGTTCTTGATTTCTTTCCTCTCTGGCACTGTACTGCTCTGCTTCCTGTCACAACGAACTAAGCATCTTTAGTTTGGCACACCATTCTGCCATGATGTTTCTACCTGGGAGCCAGATGGCCATGGATTGGATTCCTGACTAATATGTTCAAATTAAAATTTTCTTTAAGTTATGGGTGTTGGGTATTGGAGGTCATTAATGGGAAAGTGTTGTGGGTTGTTTAAATGCCCCCCCCCAAAGCCTCATTCCATCATGGAGGTGACTGAGTCTGATGTTTGTGATTGGTTCATTGTCTAGGGCTGGGATTGGTGATGTGAATAATACACTCACCCAGGGGCAAGGAGCCAATGTACAATATAAGGGATGGAAGGAGGCATGCTTTTTCCCTTTTTCCCTTTTTGTTCTTATCATTTTCAGCCACCATGACCAGCTGCCCTTCAGCCATGCCACCCTGCCTTGAAGGCCAACTGAGTATGGACTGAAACGTCCCCAAACCGTAAGCTAAATAAACCTTTCCTTGCTTCACATTGGACATCAGGTATTTTGTCTCACAAGATAGAAGCAAGACACGGAGTAATCCAGAAAATTGTTTTTAGAGAAATAGGTATATTTCTGTGACTATGTCAAAGGCTTAGAAGTCTATGGAATTGGTTACCAGAAGATTTTGGAAAATTTGATGGAACAGGTTAGAAAAATCCCAGCATACTGTAAATGGAAGAATACTGTAAATAGAGCTTGATGGGAGATTCAGGTGAAAACTCAGAATGCTGAACAAAATTTGAACAGAAACATGCAGGCTTCATGGTTTCAAATAGTAACAAAAATTACATTGGGAAATGGAATTTTCGAGAGACTGGAAGATTAAGTGCAGTACACTGACTAATCTGAAGGGGAACATTTCAAGGCAGTCAATATTCAGCTTTCAGACTGGGTACTTTCCAGAATGGCTACTTCAGCCATACTTATGGAGACAAAAAAGCAGAGCACAAAAATACGAAAAACTTAAAATTTTGGCCAAGGACCTTCATGTAAAATTGGGACCAAAGAAGGTGTAGTTGCTGAAGCATTTAGAACAATAAAAAAACTGAAAAAACAAACAAAACCAAGTACCTTATACATAGATAAGATAATGCCTTGAGGGCATCTCAGAAATTAGCAAGACTCCCCCTATCCAAGGTTCAAGAGTGTAAAAATTTCCAGCTTTCAGAAGATAGTCTCTGGGATATCTGTTTGAGAATGGATCCTTGCTCAAGAAGGGCCCCGGTAACCATTTAGTTCTAAAATACTCCCCAAAGGTCTCATGTGTTAGGAAGTGGAGCCTTGTCTGAGGTGGATCACTGAAGGTGTGGTCTGTTTTGTAGTTGTTATGAGACAAGCAGCTTTCCTCTTCCATTCCCTTCCAGCATGTCACTTCTACCTTGGAACCATCCAATAATGAACTGACACCTCTAAAATCATAATCATAATAACCCTTTCCTGTATTTTATTACAGCAAAAGAAAAACTGACAACTACAACCTCTAAGGATTTAGTTTCCCAAGATTATTTTATTTTTCCCAGCTATTCAGACAAGACAGTGAGAGAAGGACATGTCCCTAAAGTGAAAAAGGCCAAAAAATGAAGGGTTCTGTCAACTTGCTACCATTGTAGCAAAAGCATAAATAAAAGATCAGCTTTTTTGGTTTTTATAGCTTTGTAGAGGACAAGAACACCAAGGTTATGAACCAGCCACCCAAGAGGCGTGTTTTTCGGGGGACAGGAAATGGTCCCCATGACTGATTGTGAGCTGAGAGAACAACTTCACCTCCAGACATAAGAGCTTTAGCTTCCCCCAAGGAACCTGGAAGCTGTCCTGGATCACAAAATATCAAAAGTGGTCATCACCAGTTTTGAAAATGTGACACGGAAAGTCTCAACACCCATTCTCCTCTGCTGGTCACTGAAGCATGTGGGGTGGGGTCCCAGGGAACAAAAGTAAGTTTTGCCTCAGGCTGTATAGCTTATGAAGCATGAAAACTGGTATCCCCGTTCAGGGACAGCACGATAGGTTTTCTAAAGCAAGCTTGCAATTTTAGGAATGGAAACAGAAAACCCTGGATGGTAACTCACCTGAGATTGAGATACGTGAGGAAGGTTGCTTTTGCACGTGGATTAGCAGTGGCAAGTAAACAGTCCTTGAGTGGGGAAAATGTGGTTCTTAGGCAGGGGAGCTCCAACTGGAAGGGATTTTTTTAGGAGCTAACACACTCTGTCATCTGAGTCACAGGGCACCATTAAGGAAGAGTTTTGGCGTGATAAAAGAGAATATAATGTAAAAAAAATAGCCTTTATTCCAAGGACATGGAGAGGAGTCTATTACCATAGACGGCCTGGGTCCCTCTGACCAGAACATGGGGTATGGGATACACATATAACCTCTGACCAGGGGTGGGCATTGATGACGTGCAAGGAGCTGATTGGAGTTTTCTTTATATACAAACAGAACGGGGAGTTGCAATTAAGGCTGAGGAAGAAGCAAGAAGTGATAGGCGTTTCCACTTTGGCCTTCCACCACGTTAGACCACCACCATAACCACACAGTAATTTATTCTAGGGCAAGAACCTTTCAGTGAGGCCACCCAAGCCCTCTAGACTCCACAACTTATCACTGTGTGTCTCACGTGCTACATATGGAACTACAAGGTTTAGTATTTGTCCTGCTAGGTTTTGGTTTGATTCTTTTCCATTCTCTTATTCTTCCCTTTCAGAATAGAAATGTTTCCCCAGTACCACTGTACTTTTGAATTATGTAATTTCTTAATTTTTACAGAGATTCATTGATAAAGTTTACTTTGACTTTCAAAAGAGATTTGAACATTTGAAAATTACTGGAATTGCTGAGAGTTTGGGGGGAAAATTACTGCATTTTTGGTTCAATGCAAGATAGTTGTATCATGTTAAGCAAAATTATTAATCTTGAGTTTATTTCAAGATTAAATATGATTTAAATGCCGAACTAAGAAGTGATAGACTGTGAGTCTATCACTGGGATATCTCAATTTGAGTGGATTAAGAAACACAGGTTAGTAAAGGACACTTTTAGGTGCTTATGTGTGGTTCATGAGACATGACCGTGGTATTATGTATGACTTCTGGTCCATTTCTTCTCTGACCCTGTATTCTACTCTCTTTCCCAGAAGCAAAACTAGGCAGTGCATCTTAGCTGAACCCTTCTTCTATGTTTCTGCCTTGGAGCTAGAAGAATAAGGAATGAATCCTCTGAACTTGTGAGCCAAATTAAACCTCCTTTAAACTGGGTACTGCATATTATGTCTCAGTGATACCTTGGTCCATTAACTTAATTCTTTCCACAATTCTAGTCACAAACAGAATTAGATAAGAACTAAGTCAAATTCAATGGTTAATTTGATTTGGTTGTCATCCAGTTCATTTTGTGATCAGAAACATGGAAAGAATAAAGTTCTTGAGGTATCACTGTGTAAGTAGTTTGTTCTAGTACGTGCTCCCACCATTACGTGCTTCTCTTGGATTGTGAGCTGAGAGAACATCTTCACCTCAGGACGTAAGAGCTTTAGCTCCCCCCAAGGAACGTGGAAGCGGTCCTGGGTCACACTTATCAAATAAATGTAGTCTATCACACTTCTTGTTAAAAAAAACTTTGCTACCGTCTGTTAGGCCATGCTACATTGACTGTCTAGTTTTAGGTTTGTGCACAACAATGACTGTTTCCCTGAAGACATGTTTGCAGAAATAAAATTTTGAAGTTTTAACATTTAATGTTTCTAAGGCTGCTGAAACAAGCCACCAAATTCTTTCTGTGAATCTTAAGTCTTCCTATATTCATGTCTTGTTATCACTTTAAAATGTCTTGAAGAGAAACTCTGAGACCTTTGAGTTAAATATTTATTTTGTTTCCTGTCAAAAGAAGTATCTGATCATAGCACACTAATTTTTAAATTACAAATTTACGTAATTTTGCAAAAAGCTGACAAGTTCAATCACAATTTTAGCTGAGGAAAAAAACTGCTAAAAACACAATTTGTGCCAGAAGCTGTAAATTGTTATTTGTTTCTGCACCACTTGTAATCAAAGCCTCACAAATAGTAGGAATGCATTACTGAACTCCATTTTTTTCATTTTTTCTATGAATATGAAATACATATATTTTTCACCATACTGGGGATTGAATGCAGGGACTTGTGCATGCTAGACAAGTGCTCTGAGTTGCATCCCCAAGCGCCACAATATTTTATAAACAACAAAAACTTGTAATATTTATCTAGTCTCATACTTTTGTCTGATTTATTTAGGAATGTTTCATGAATAAAGTTTGAGTACCCTTCATCATTATGGTAACAACTACAATTTCACAACCCATCAGCGTTTTTATGTCACTAAACGTTGCCAAAAGATCAAGAAAGTTTCTCTTTCCTATAGTGATAGCGGGCTTTTAGACCTTATTTTTAAGGAAATGGTAAACCACTGAAAATTCCTTGACAGAGTAATTAGAAAGATTTCAAAGTTCAAAGGAACCATTCTAACAATAATGGGAAAATTATACTTTTTCTGTGTATAAATAAAATATATATTATGCTTTAACTGCAGTTTTAGAACATAGCATCTATAAGGGCAATACATCACGAGTTTTTAATGCTGGTAATAGAATTTTGATTAACACTGACCCTTACTTTTCATATCAATGTTGGGACTAACTAATCATACTTATAAAATAGCTGTCATATGACAGGATAAGCATTTCACAGAATGACACTGAAAAGCCCCATTTAGAATGCCAGTGTCAAAGATAAGGTCCTCCCACAGAGGAGAACTTACTTGCCCAGATACTAACATTCACTTCTTGACATAGCCAAGCTGAAATACAAGACAAATATAATGATCCTCACTCTGTATATGAGAAGTCTGAGATTCAAAATTTAAGGGATACCCTCATTGTCATCAAGATAAGAGTTGCGTAACTGGAATTTGTTAGGTTACTTTCAATACCAGAATCTGCACGCATACGTTTGCTTGGTTTCACCCCTAGAGAGTAAAAATATAGCACTGATGAGAATTTAGTAGAGTTCAAGTTGATTTCTTAATTAACCATTAATAGCTTGTTACTCTTTTTAAGTGTTCGCCTCTCGTGTTCTCTCTACTAGTCACACCATTACAGCAGCTAGTCAGATATGTGGCAAGGGGGCATCAGCTGTTCTTTTCGGAAGGCTGACAGAGCTGCTATAGTCTGCTCTCTCTGATGATGGGAAGTGGGGTGCTGGACCAATTGAAATGCTCTCAATCAACTGGAAAAGGCTAGACCCTAACCATAAAGCAGGACAGGGATTTTCCATGCAGTAGAGCATGCACCTTGACTGCCCTGAGCATCCCTGGTGACTTGTCCTCATTGTTACCGGCTTAAGATTCAGGAAAGGGGGGAAATGCATGCATACCTCAAAATTGAAAGTAGTGCATGGATAAATCATGAATATGTAAGAGTAGTGTGGGGAATAAATAAAGTAAAAAAAGTATAGAAAAATAAAAGAAATCGAAACAAAGACACTCATGTTGTCCGTACTCCAGGGGAGTCCTGACTTGTCTGGTGAGCCATATCCTGCTTTGCAATAAACTCTTCATTTTGAAACCATTTCCTCACTGGCCAGGGATGTATGAGGTGAATTCTTCTCCAGTCCCCCCAAAACAGGAAACTGAACAGTGACATCACAACATGGCGTGGTAACAGAAATCCTCACTTCTCTGAGTCTCAAATTTCTCCACCTGAAATGAAAGGATAATAGCACTGCTATGATTTCATTATGGTATGTCCCCTCTATAACTAAAGTTGCAGTTTCATTCCTATTAAGACATACTAAGATGTAGGAAAAAGTGAGACCTTTAAGAGGTGATTAGGGCTCTGCACTCATGGGATTAATGAGTCTTCTTGAAAGGGGGTCTGGCACGAAAGCCAGTTTGACTAAGTCTCTCCCATGCCTTATGTTTCTTGCCATGTGATGCCCTGCACAGCTCTGGGACTCTGCCAACATGAAGGCTTTCACTATATAATGTTCCTGGATCTTGGACACAAGCATGGACCAAATTAAACCTTTCTATATAACTGATCAAGTCTATGTATTGTGTTATTTAGCAACAAAACACATAGTAAGACAACACCAACTTTGCAAAGGTTTTCCAACATTTATGTATACAAAGTACTAGGCACATTGCCTGACACAGTGATAATGAAGACTAGAACTTAGTTTAAGCTCCAAACAATAAATATTTTATAAGTTGTATAGCAACCTCATAATTAGTAATTATTAAATCCCCTTTATTCCTCATATAACAAGCAAAAACAACTGTAATGTATTGGGCTAATGTACTTCTCAAATACATCAGGGATAAAACAAAAGAGTTTCTAGCTCATATTACATGGGGAAAAATAGCTAAAGAGATGTAAGATAATGAGATCTGGGAAAAGACCATTTTAAATGAATTAATATAAAAGAATTGGATTTCATAGCATAAATGGAGGAAAACATCTTGTGTTGAGACTCATTAAAAACTAGGAAAAGAAATTTAACTTTAGCAAAAATCTAGACTATATATAAGTCTATTATTTAAAAAAGAAAAGAAAACAAGGAACTAGTTTTAATCTGGTGAGTGACCTAGGACCTGATATTAAAAATACATAAATATTTCATTTTTTCCATAAACCAGAAATAATACCTTAATTTATTGCAACAGAATGCTGTTTTTAAAAAAGATGGCTGTTATAAAAACACTGTCATGTCAATGAAGTGCCCAGTAAATTAAATCACTGCCCCACATAACCTTAATTATAATTATAATAAACGCCTTTAATATAATAAAACTACAGATATATACGTAAAATGTTTTAGTAAATGTGACATGTCACACTCACAGGTTTTCCTAAAAAATCTTCCTAACCCCATAAATGGATCATTAAGGAATATCCTGTCTCCTAGACAAAAATTTTAGGTGTCCAAATGGAATGACATTCACTTAAATAATATTAAATGTAATTATCAGAAACTTTCTCTCCAAAACAGAAATACTTTTACATATAAAACTTACATAAACTATATATGAAGATATATACTCTTTACTATAATTTAAAATTCCTCACATATTGCCTTTGCAAAAATGCAAGCAATTTGTAGAAAGTGATATTATATATGCAAGTCTCTGGAAAGCTTTCTGTGTGAATATGGAATATAGCTTTAGTATCTTATGAGTATTCTAAATTATCTAAAACTGACAATAAAAGTCAGGAAAAGCTATTTTTTTCACTAAAACAGTATTAAATATAATCTTTCTACTATAATCAGAAAAGAACAAAAGTTGTGTGACCACACACTAAGTGAAGCTCTACTGGGATTTTCATTCTTTAAACAGTGCATCTTCAAGACAGGGGAAAAACCACTTCCTGTCTGAAGTGGTTAGGAAGAACCTTGAAAAGACCTTATGGAAAGTTTAACAAATTTTCTATTCCCCTCTAGGACAACTGTTGTATCAAAAAAGAAAAGAAACCACAAAGACTAAGACACAGAATTGTTCTTTCCAGAATTTAGTATTTTAAAAAGACAAAGATAGAAAAGTTTCAAAAAGTTAAAGATTCATTTGGGGGCTAAATATAAAGATTGAAACTCTTTCCTCATAATTGATTTAAGGTAAAAAGTAAAAAATACCAAAAAAACCCCACCCCACTATAACCTACAGCTGTTTAATGTAATGCCCACCTACCAAAAAGGTGGGACAATGCTAGTTGACTAAGCAAACACACATTATGACCCTACTAACAAAGTTCAAAATAGTTACAGTTCTGAAGGTCCAAAATGAGGATCATCTTGCCCTCTTAGATTCTACTTCTTCAAGAATCCACTCAATGCCATTCAAAAAGCCAGTGAGAGTATCAGCCTCTATATCCTGGACCTATGAATAGATAAAAGAAAAGGTCAATAGGAAACTGAGGCCTAAATTTTATGATTAAAAGGGATATTTTTCTAGATATTAAAAGGTTAAATATCTACTGTATGATGAACATAGAGCAGATCTTCAAATAAACACTATTATAAGCAATTATATGCCCACAAATTGGAAAACCTGGAAAAAATGGAAAAATTTCTGGACACATGTAATCTATACAAATTAAACCATGATGATAGAGAAAACCTAAACAGATGAATAAACAGAGGAACCAAACCAGTATCAAAAAGTCTCTCAACAAAGGACAGTCCAGTGGTGGGAGGCATCACTGCTAAATCCTAAAAATTTTTAAAGGAAAAACTAATACCATTTCTTCTGAAACTTACAAAATATTGAAAAGTGGATTCTTTCAAACTAATTCTACAAGGCCACCATTGCCCTCATACTAAACCAGACATGGATTCAACATAAAAAGAAAATGATAGATCAGTACTTCTAATGAACATAGGTACAAAAATTCCCAATAAAATCCTAGCAAACTAAAGCTAACAGATCACCAAGATGATCAATCAATCATTCTGATCAAGTGAGATTTATCCAAGGAATACAAGGATGGTTCAAAGTACTCTAATTAATGAATGCAACACATCATATAAACACAATTCAAGATAAAGTCATATGACTATTTCATTAGATGCAAAATCATTCAATAAAATTCAATATCACTTCATAATAAAAACTCAACATGTCAGTTATATAAGGAAAAATCTCAACATAATAAAGACTATATGTATATAAGAAACCTAAAATCAACCACATAATGAATAGCAAAAAGGTCCATTTTTTGTTTTCTTTTTTTCTTTTTTTAGTCAAATTTTATTTTATTTTATTTTATTTAGCTCAGGTGCTTACGCTGAGCTAAATCCATGGCCAGGATGAATTTTATTTATAGAATTTATAAAAGTTTCGTTTTTTGTTATACAAAAATTATAAAACAGGACTATTAAATACAACCTTTCAGACTCTTGGAAACTTCTTTTAAGCAACCAAGAGGTCTGAAAAAAAAGCAATCACAGGATTGGAACTCGGGTAGTTGCCTTTTTTTCTGCACAATACTCATAGTTATATCTTATCTCAAAATAACACAGGGACCAGCTGCATCTGACATAAAGGTCTCCACTCAGGTCAGATTTTGAAGCAGCAAAATCTTCTCATTAATGCAGAACCCATCAGCTCCACGATCAGACTCTTGCTGAAGTGGGAGACCTGGCACTCCAGGGCCAGGCAGATGTCCTCCTGCCCATCTCGGGTGATGCCCTCAGTGACTTGTGTGGTCAGCATTCTTTGACTAGGTAATGTCTTAGTTACTTTTCTAGTTGCTAAGATAAAATACTTAACACCCAAAGCAAAGGTTTATTTTAGCTCACAGTTTGTAGAAATTTCATTCCATAATCAGCTCGCTCCAGTGCAAGGTAGCAGGGCAGGGGGGCATCACAGAGGGGAAACAGCAAGGCAGAAGGCAGGAAAAGAAGGAAGCATAAAACAGTAGCAGCAGCCCTCTCTCTGTCCTTAATATTCTATTCAGGATACATGCCCCTAAGCAGATATCACTCATACCCAGGGTGGGTTTTCTCATTATCCACACCCTGAACTATACCAATTCAATCAGTGGGCTAATTTTAGTGATTACACACCCTTAATCCTAGCACCAGGCACTCTAGATCCAGCCACTTCTAAAAAGCCTTACCTAAAACCACATGAGGTTTTGGGGAGGGGAACATTTAATATAAACCATAATGGTAATTCCAAATGCATTTTCCAATCTTCCAATATTCTCAAGTAGGCAAAGACCTCCAATATATCAATGTTTGTAACATAAGTGAAAAAATTCTCATACTTGGAAGTTCCCTGTTGGCAAATCTTATTGACAGCTTTTGAGAAAAGCTCTCTCTCCAGAAGCAGTATGATTACATGGCCCAGTGGCATGTCATCACTGTTGTCGGTGAAAGTCTAAGCTTAAAATAGGCTAAAACCAAATGCAGTCAGTAAGGCATAATGGCTTTACTCATACAGGGCAGAAGCCTCAGATTGGAACCTTTTTAAATGTGTGCTTTACTTTTGAGGTTTTTTTTCTGGGATTTGCCTCCATCCTAAATGGGAAGTTATACACAGCACATTAGATCAAGGACTTTTTCACATGCCATCCTGCAATGCCCCCAGAACAAAGTGAAATGCTGCCAGCTGGATGAGCACCCTCTGATGTTCCAACATCGTGGGATCTTGTGGATGAGAAAGGGATCCTTGGAGAGCTGCCAAATGATGCAGGCTGGCTACTGCCTTTTCATGTTGAGCCTGATAAGTGATCATGTCAATGAGAGAAAAAAAATTTTACGATTAGGAAAATTTATTGAAAAAAAGGAATGAGGACTAGGAATAGCTCCTGAGAGACAGAAGGCATCCCAAATGGGTTGCCCAAGCAAGATGCATAACCACAGCCAATCATCCATCTTCCATGCCAAAGAAAGTCTTTCGAATTTTCTTTTAAAGAAATTCTAGGGAATAAAGCTCTCCTTGGCTAATTTAAGAATGCATTCTGGTATGTCAACAGCACACAGCTATCTCTCTTCCAAGGTCCTAATGCTCCAAACCAAGATATACAAGTTCATCTTGGCCAGCTCTACCTGCACAATTTAAAACTTCCTAATACTTCAACAGAGTAAGTTCTACTTTATTGACTATAATGAACTTTACCAATTCAATCAGTGGGCTAATTTTAGTGATTACACACCCTTAATCCTAGCACCAGACACTCTAGATCCAGCCACTTCTGAAAGTTCTACTTTATTGACTATAATGTGACAGTTTCGTCTCTTTGCTGAACAGTCTTCATTATCTGGACTCATGGCTTTTTCTCTTCTCTCTGCATGTTTCCTCTTTCTATGTATGTGCTGATTGTGATTGCTTTCCATATCACCATACACATTTGATACATCTTCAAGAAGAACAAGTAGAACTTGGAACATTTGTGCCTTAGAAAAAGAGATGCTGTATTCTGCTGACATACTGAAACACATTCTTAAAGAAGATCAAAATAGTGGAATAAACTACTTGATCTTTATATTTTGCACGTGTTTCATTATCAAAGTCGCCCATGCATCATCAGAAAAACTTCATTCTATGCAATATATCACTATTGCTTCATCTTCCTTTATCCATCTGCCATTCACATCTGATTTCAATAATATTCAAAATCTTATGCAACTTCTTCCAAGTGCTTATAATCTGGGAGGATTTTTAGGTGAGTCCTTCTATTACATACTTCTGGGAGCTATATTTGCCTGGCACCATTATATCAGACTTATTTTTGGCACTTGTGCCGATTTTCCATCTGAGTATATCTAGTGACATAGTTAATATAAAATACAGCTGCTAAGCATATAAAATACAGTATTTACATATTAAATCAGCAGGTAACTAAGCATTATAGTTAACTAATAGTAACTAAGCATTAGAAGTGGCTGGATCTAGAGTGTCTGATTAAAGTACATCACAAAGTTATAAAGCAATTAATAAGATTCTTATTCTTCAACAGTTTTAGCTTCAAATAGTACCTAGAAGATTAGTAGAGCCAATGAATAAAATCAGGGACATTAGCATTAATGATCAGGTTAGTCCTTTGATGTTATATATTAGTATTATTTGTTTTAGAATTAGTTTAATTAATCATTGTTGAATTGTGATTCACCTGTTATTTAGCAGTTAGGTAACAGAAGTAAGATGCTGGGAAAATAATGACAACGATTACAATAGGTAGGCCCTATTATTGTTGGTGTAATGAAAGAGGCAAATAAATTTTCATTCTTTTTGCTCAAGGTTTTGCAATTTTGCTTTGCAATTTCTAGGTGGGTTGTTAGGGAATTTGTGTAATATAGGCGTGTTAAAATTTTTAATAGAATATAAGTAATGAAATAATCGGTGATAAAATAATAGTAAATTATGCAGATGTATAGTTGTGGCATTTCATTAAGGAGAAAATCATTTCGAATCTTTAACTTAAATGGTTAATGCTAATATAGCTTCATAATGACTTATGAAGGTCAATTTTTGAATGTTTTTAATGGCATTATTTCAAGAACAATGGGTATAAAACTGGTTTGAACCATAGTTTATGAGCATTGATCATAACACGGTCCTGGTTGTGACGACATTAGAGCTGCTTGGTTTAGATGGCCTGGAATGGCATCTGTTTTAGGACCTACAGAAGGAACAGAGGACATCTTCGGGTGAAATTACACCATTTTAGAGAAAAATCATCAAAAGTAGGGACGATGCTTCTTGTTGTATCAATGCGTTGAAGCATTATTCTGTGACTTTTAGTGAGATTTCACACTAGATCTTGCCAGAAGTGTTTCCTTAATGCTGATGCAATAATGGTGAATTCTATCCACACCTTTGGCTGGTCTATGAAATGTAGACGTCTGTCTACAGCAGCCTCCTAGTGGTGGTAGCCTACTCTATGTCCTGCTCAGTGGTGTACATCTCACACTGGATGCTAAAGTCAGCCAAGTAAAGGGTACAGTCTGTGATCAAGCACACCTTAGCTGTCCACAAGTCCTGGAATAGTGTTCCTAGGCTGCTGCATCAGGAACCTGCTGTCGCTATGGGCAGACAGAGCCTTAATGTCAGGAAGCCTTCAGCTCTTGTGACTGCTGGTCCCTAGACTGAGACTCCATTGCCACAGTTGCCCCAGAGGTAAAAAAGCCTTTTCTCTAAGATCTGGAATCAAAGTTACGCCCACTCTCTCTAATCTTATTCAATATAGTTCTGGAAGTCTTAGCCAGGGCAATTAGGTAACAGATAGAAATAAAAGTCATACAGATAGAAGAAAGGAAACTTTGGGAATTACATAATTTTGTATATGGAACAATCTGAATTCTTCACTAAAAGATTAACAGAACTGTTAAATTCGCTATATTTGTATGATTAAAAAAGACCAACATACAAAAATCAGTGGTAATTTTATCTACCAATAATGAAACTGCTGGGAAGGAAATTATAAAGGCAATTCTATTCACAATAGTTTAAAAACTACGAATTTAACGGAGGAAATACAATATGTATCTCTATAGTGAAAATTATAAAACTCTGATGGAACAAACTGAAAAGTACACAAAAAAATGGAAAGGTCTTTTATGTTCCCCATTATGGACCAAAGATTCAATACAATCCTCATGAAAATATCAGTGTCATTCTTCACAGAACTAGAAAAAACAATCCTAGCACTCTTGAGAGGAAAAAAAACTACATAACTGACTATAAAATATACTATAAAACTATAGTAAAAACAGGCCAGGCTTGGTGGTGCATGCTTACAATTCCAGAGGCTGGGCAGGAACATTGCTGTGAGTTCCAGGCCAGCCTTGGGGGCACAGTGAAGTCAAGGACAGCCTGAATTGTCTCAAAACACAACAACAAAACAAACAAAAAAACAGCATGATATGGTGGCAAAAACAGATATGTAGATCAGTGGAATTGAACTGAGTGCCCAGAAATAACTCCACGAAAACACAGTCAATTGATTTTCAACAAAGTTTCTGTAAAAAATGTATTGGAAGAAACAACCATCTTTTTAATAAATGGTGCTGGGAAAATTAGGTTTTCATGTGTAGAAAAATGAATGCAGATCCCTATCTTTAACCAGTCACAAAAATAAATTCAAGGTTGAATAAAGACTTAAATGGAAGACATGAAATAATGAAACTACCAGGAAAAAACGTAAGAGAAATGCTTGAGTACAGTGGAGAAGGCAAGTATTTTGTACAACACCTTCAAATAATAGGAAACAAAAGAAAAAATAGATAAATACAACTATATAAAATGAAAAAGTTTCTGCACTTCAAAGGAAACAATCATCAGCATTAAGAGACAACCTAAAGAATGAAGAAAATTTGCAAAATATACTTCTCATATAAGGTTGATATCTAGAATATATCAGGAATTACAAAATCTCAATATCAAGAGAACTCACAGTATCAAAAATCAAAAAATTTAATTGTACCTAATTAAAAACTTTCTGTACAGCAAAAGCAACCAACTGAGTGAAAAGACAACCCTACAGAATAGAAAAATTTTTCACTAACTATTCCTCAGAAGACTAATATCTAGAATGTATTAAGCAATAAAAAATTAGACAAAAATGGACAACTGAAAATGAATAAACACTTCAAAACAGTACAAATGACCAATAAATATATGAAAAAATGTTCAACATCCCTGGCTATTAGAGAAATGCAAATTAAAACAAAATCAAGATTCTCCTTACCACAGAAATAACAGTTATCAAAATCAAGAAATAACAAAGGTTGGTGGGGATGGAAGAAAAAAGAAATCCTTTTACACTGTTGGTAATAATGTAAACTAATACAGCCACTTTGAAACTCAGTATGGAGATTCCTTAGAAAAACTGATTTAGTTACTCTCTTTCTAATTAATTTCCCTGAGGAGTTAAATATACTGTATCAGTGATACATGCATTCCTATGTTTACAGCAGCACAATACATAATAGCTAAATCTTGGAGGTGGCCTATAGGTCCATCCACAGATGAATCGAGAAAGAAAACATGGTATTTATACACAATGAAGAAACTACTCTGCCATAAAGAAAGATAAAAGAGTTATCTGTAGGAAAATTAAGGCACCTTGATACAATAAAGCTAAATGAAATAAATCAGATATGCAAGTTAAATATTAAATGCTTCCTCTTATATGAGAAACCCAAAGTATAAATAAAGAGAAAAATAAGAGAATAGAAAGTAGGGAGGTAGATCTTTCTCAAATAGAAAGAGGATAAAGAAATACAAGGAGTGGAGAGGAAGGAAAAGGAGGGAAAGAGAATGAAAAAAGGAATTAAAATGTGTTACACACATGCATGTTATACATAAGGAATGTAAACATTGTGTGTTGCAAACATGCACCAAAAAAGGGAAGAGAATCAAGAGATGGATGGAGGGGAGAGGGAGGAAAGGGAAAGTGGATAAAAAAGGAATTAAGATGTATTACGTACATGTACCAATGCCCCAAAAGGAATGGAAATATTAGTATACAAACATTTACCTATAAAATAATGAAAAAAAAATATTCTTAAAAAGTGGACAATTGACTCAGATGTTTTTTAAAAAAGAATACAAATGGGCCAATAAGTACATGAAAAGAATGTTCAACATATTGATCATCAGAGAAGCGTAAGTCAAACGCATAATGAGATATTTCTTCATTTCCATATCTATTATCTAAAAGACAACAAGTTCTGGTCAGGATGTGGAAAAAAGGGAATCCACATACACTATTGGTGGGAATATAAATCAGCACAATCATTATGGGAAACAGTATGGCGATTTCTCAAAACATAAATAGAACTACCATCCGATGCAGCAATCCCACTAACAGGCACATGTGTCCAAAGGAAATGAAACATCACAGAGACATCTGTACTCCAATGTTCACTGAAGTGCCATGCACAACTGTCAAGACATGGACTCAACTAATTAATGGATAAAAATATGGTATATATACAGGGAATAATATTCTTCACAACAAAAGAATAATAATAGAATAATAGCCACTTGTGACATCAACATGAAGATCATTATGTTATGTGAAATAAGCCACACACAGAAAACAAATACCAAATGATCTCACTTATATGTAGAATCTTAAAAATCTGAGAGCAGAATCAGAAGTTGGGGAGGTTAGAAAAGAAGAGATGGAGAAAGGCTGATGATGGTTCAGTTACTGTTACATAGGAGTAAGGAGTTCTGAAGTAGTATATTTTTAAAAAGGTACAAATAAGGATTTCGAATGTTTTTGTTTAAAGAAATGATACATGTTTGAAGAAAACAGTAAGCTTAATCTCACTTATATATTTCACAATGTACATGTGTTGAAATATCACATGGTACCCCATTATTCTGTATAAATTTTTTTATGTAATAGTTAAAAAATAAGTTTAAGGGCCGGGAATTTGGCTCAGTGGCATAAGCCTGCCTGGCAAGTGCCTTGCCTGCCTAGCAAGCGCAAGGTTGTGAGTTTGATCCCTGGTACTGCAGAAAAAAAAGAAAAAAAGAAGTTTAATAATTTTTTTAAAGTATTGAAAACTGCCACTTCAAACTGTAGGACTAAACTCGCACCACTCAGGAGGGTAAATTTTTATTACTAGCCTTCACACTGTACTCCACATAGTTGCTAGAGTATCAGGAACAAAAGATAAGGGAGGCATGAAGAAAATTCTCTAAATTTTTCAGTAAAAATGTTTCCAACTTTAAAATGTTTTCTATAGGTTTTTCATGTCTGATTTCATTTGAAGAAAATATCCCATAATTAAGCTAAATTTGGGGAAGCAATATACTATAAGATATAATCTTTTTTAAAAAATGTTTTTGGTGGTTCTGGAGCTCAGACAAGGGCCTCATGCTTGCTAAGCATACAGTCTCCCACTCAGCTTACACCCACAACCCACAACCACCTGTATTTTTTATGATTCTTAAGGCATAACACATGGATGCTGTTGCTATGACAGGAGAGACAAGTAGGGGACAAGTATAAAGGCGAGGACTGATCATCTGAGATTTATCAACACCAATTAAATAGCTTCTATCAATTAAACTTTTAAAACTTACATTAAATGCTAGTTCGTTAAACAGTATGAATAAGAAAAAACAAAACTGGCATGGTTTGAATAAATGCCCCAGAAGTCTACCTGTTAAAGGTCTACTTATTAAAGCATCTGACAGTGATGCTACGAGAAGGTAGTGAAACTTTCAAGACATGGGCCCTAGCAGGAGACGCGGTACTGGGGGCCTTCCCTGAAGGTGATATTGTATGCCAGTCCTTTTCTCTTCTTTCACTCCTGTACAAGCAATAGACCAAACCAACCATGGACTAAAGTTTCAAAAGAGAGCCAAAATTTAAAGACAAAACAAAAACTCCTGCAATATTAGGAAATGAACCCAGGGTCTTTTGTTATTCATGCTGTCCACAACCTTTCACTCTTCCTCCCTCAGCCTCCCAGAGTATTGAGATTACAGGTGTGAACCACCACATCTGACTCCTCCTCTGTGTTTAAGTAGACTGCCTCAGGTAATTTGTTACGTACATAGAAAGCTGACACAACAATGAAATAGAAAATAAAATTAAGAAATGAAGTTTTTACCATCAGAAAAGCAAAGGCCTTACCATCCATGGGTGATTTATACGACTGAGATGCAGCTCATGGGCCAGATAAAAACAGGGCATTCTTTTCACATGTGCTTCAGAAATACAAGATAAAACCAGCATTGGTCTTCCTGAAGATCCAAAAGCCGGATCTGTCATTGCCATAATATGAGAAAATTCATCTTCCCATTCATGTCCTAAAGAATGTAAGTCAGATGTATTAATTTTTATTTTTATAATAATTTTTAAAATGAAATGAAATTTAACAAAATAAGGGATTAAAAATGTACCATGATTCAAATCTAACAAACTGCTTTTATTGTTCTACCAGAAAACTAGACCCAGTAGCATTTTGAGGATAATTTAGGTGAAGCCCTGCTTTCAAATGTCTCTGCAGTTGAAAAGTAAAAATCCTTGATGTATTTTTATCTCAAATATCCTATAGCTGTCTTATTTTCAAATTTTAACATGATAGTCATACAGCTAGTTTCTCTTAGTTCACTGAACACAAAGGTTTGTGCTAACATTGCTTGGACAAGGTATCAGTACAAGTCTTGTACTCTGACTATCTACTAAGACAACAATACACAGTGTATTAATTATTGCAGTTCTCCTAACCTGTTTTGACACTGTTCTATTGGGTTTTTTAAAATTTAAAATAAAAACAAAATTTAAGAATATAACTGGATCTAGTTTTTTAAAAAAATTCAAACTAAAAATATCTACTTTTCATTGAATATTTAAACTATTTATACATTGTGGAATATTTAAACTATTTATACACTGCAGAATTCTAAAATGAACTCAGGGCATCTAGATAATCCTTTACCCCCTGAAGTTGGAGAAAATGTAAAAATGACTTATCATTCCTAGGATTAGGTTTTAAGACACAGTTGTCTTTAAAAGCCTGAGCTAATAAGGTGAACCATTAAAAAGAGTTCTTCCTGTTGAGAAGGATTAGATAAAAAAGGTATTCTCCATTTCTGGATTTCAAGATGTAAGAAGTTACATGACAAGGAATTTAGGAAGCCTATAGTGAGAAGTCTCCAGCCTACAACCACAAACTTGGGACTTCAGTTTTACAACAGTAAGGAATTGAACTCAGCCAAGGGTTTAGTGAGCTCTTGAAAGCAAGTTCTTCCTCAGAGCTGCTTGAGTGTATAATCCATCTGATACCCTAACTCTAACACAAGACGAGAACACGTTTCAACCATGTCAAGACTGTACACTGAGAACTGTATTCTAACAGGTGCTGTTTTAAGCCAGTAATTTTGAGGTAATTTGTTTTATATCAATTGAAAATGCATAAAAATCTTAATGCAATTATCAACATGGTATACTTAAATCTATCACTCACCTTAGACTTTAACTCTCCTGTGCTTTATTCCTTTTCCCCTTTTTGACTGCATTCTTTTGAACTGAGTTTGTAATAATTTTATTACTGGGTTACTTAGATATTTAGTTATAACTACATTATACTTTTAATTAGTTATTAAAGGATTTACAGTAAACATTCTTAACTATAAGTCTACTTTTTAAAAATATATTTTACAAATAGAAAAAATATACAATATATTTCAATTTCTTCTTTTATGATATGCTCTAGTATGTTATATTTTGCTTTAAAATTCCATATACCCATAGTCCGTTAATTTTTCTTTAAATAGTTATAAATAAAATTAGAAAAAAACTTTTGTGTATGTGGTTATATTACTTACCATTTCAGGAACCTTCATTTTATTTTTGTAGATGCAAATTTCCACCTGGTATTATATTCTTTTACCTGAAAATTTTCCTTTAAGATTCTTACAATGAGATCTATTGAATATATATGTGTGAATATATACACATATATATTCATACATATATGTGTTTGTATTTAATTAGAAAGCTCCTAGGACTGGCAATGCTACTACTTTTTAAAATTTTATTAGCAACAAAAAAAGAAAGGGGGAGTCAAGGAATGGATAGAGGGGAAAAGGACGGACAGAAAAAGGGATTAAAAAAGGAATTAAGATGAAAACATGCACATGTATCAATTCCCAACAAGGAATGTAAACATTATGTACTATACACAGAAGTGAAAAATTTGAGAGGATATTTAGGTTGTAAGCAGTCTACCCTCATGAATGGATTAAAGGCAGTGGAAAAAAGAATTTTGGGAAGACATTCTCTGTCTTTTGCTCTATTATCCAAGAGAGAGCACATTAATCTACACTTTTGTTTTCTTGTTCTGAATGAAATAGCCTTTAGCAGTGGGCTCTGCCACCTTGTTCTGAATGAAACTGTGTGTTCTATGTAAATTATTTAATATCATAGATAGAAAATTTCAGTAATAAAAATGGGAAGCATACTAAGAGAAAACATTATATAGCAATAACATCTAACTTTGATGTGCATCAAAATCCTTCGGGTGCTGATAAACACAGATGTCCGTGATGCACCCTAAATCTATGAACCACAATCCAGCAGGGTAGGAACTGGGCATCTATATGTTTAACAAGCTCACTAGATGATCCTAAGGCAAATCAAACAGTAATTGCCAGAAAATCAGAGTGACAAAATTATCAGATTTTTAAGATAACACAGTAAATATCTAAAGGTTATTTTTTTATTTATTTGGTTTGCAAAGAATGATGCTTTTGAAAAGGAAATAAGAATGCTTACTTTTATGAGCTTCAGCATTTGCAACATAGATGAACCCATCTACAACTTCACAGACCTTCTGAATTTGTGGAATTACACTGTATCGGCTTCTTTGTTGGTCATCTCCTTCAAGCTGTAGGTTGAACATCTTGTTAACTGCACTTGTACGCTCTTCCCTTGCTCTATCCCTCTCTTTTCTATATGAAAAAAGTAAAAATATATCATCACAAAAACACTAAGCAGGTTCCATCTCCTATAATGTCCTACTCCTGAGTTTTAGGTCAGCCATAACCTAGGTAGACTTACTTGGCAGTTAAACATAGTAAGTTGAATTTACCTGGTAGTTGAATATAATATCAGGATGTTGAATTTATGTTGATTGTTCAAATGAAAACTGACTCCTGATCCAATACCTAAAGAAGAAAATTATAATTAGCAAACTAAGTAATTAGATAATGACAGCAAAAGATCAGATTAGAAAATGTCTGTCACCCAGTGAAAGCAATTATAAAAGAAAAACTAGAGGATATATATAGTCTTGAAATAAAATGCAATTCTCATGTTGAAAAGAACATGCTATATGGAACTCTTATTCTCATGATAAGAAACACACAGTGAACAGAGAACTGCTAGGCTCATTATGGTCTTTTTATGTCGTCATCATCATCATCTGTTTTGACACAAAAGCATAAAAATTATCTATACTTCTGAGGGTTACTGTGAGGACTGAGATCCCCTATGTAAAATTTCTAGTTGAGTGACTGGTAAATAATAAGTGCTAAATGCTAGCTTCTCAGTACTTTTATTCTGAGCAGTTCAACACTTGGCATTTGTCTGCCTTTCTTAACCTCTCCCCTGCTTTGGCTGTGTTAACATTCAGAGTCTGATGTTTTCCTTTTACTCTCCTGGAAAGATCCTTCTTGGACTCTGACTCTACGTCTTCTTCTTACATATAAATATCCTTAGTTCTGTCCACTTTGTTCATCAGCATTCTCGCCTTTTAGTCCAAATTATCATCAGCTCTCATTTGAACTTCTGCAGTCACTTCTAATCAGTCTCCTACATCCTTTTGCATCCAAGCATCTTTTCTTCAGAGAGAAGCTGGAGAAACTGCTAATAATAATATCTAATTATGTCTCTTCTCTACAATGCCATTGCCCTTCAGGTAGAAAAATAAAACCTTAATAAAACCTGTCTCCTATTTACCTCATGAGATACATCTCTAGGAGGTACACTTGAGAACCCCTTGAGATCACCTCATGAGATCACCATGAGATACATCTTTAATGCTTTCATTATAATAATTCATTGGTTTAAAATAAGATATTCCAAATATCTCACACCACCATTGTAGGCAGCATGTACATTGAGTGTTGAAACACTCACAAGCTGAGACTACAATCATCCTCTAGCCACCAGGCGGGGTGTACACTCCACAAGAGAAACATGGAAACAAAATGAACCACGTTTCTGAACATTGTTTTCTAAAATTTAACTCCTACAAAGTATTCTCTCCATATGTCTAACCTCAGCCAAGCCTGCCCCACGCCATTCTGCAACTTTTTGCCAATGATGTAACTTATACTCTTCTCTGATCTTATAAGATTCAAGGCCTATATAGATAAGCAATTCTAAACAGTCAGTTCAGCTGTTATTTGGAAGATGGAACTGACATTTAGTAATCACAAATTTACTTCTTTGATCCTTAGTTTTCTACCCAGGAACTAAAATTACATGCAATTCTACTCATCTATACACCTATCCCTGTCCTTGGAACAAAAATATTCACAAGGACAGAGAGTTTTTACATTGTCTGTTCTACATCTCTGCATTCTTAGCATCTAAAAAGTGTTCCCAATAAATAAGTAAAGCATAAGCTAAATTGTATATTATTTATGTACCTTGCCAAATAATGTTTTTATTCATACCAGAGAAGGTGCTTATTTAGTTCTTTTTCAAACATTATCCTGACAACAAAAATTTACTTCCACATAATATTAAATTCTGTACTACATAAATTTGAGGAATTATGAGAAAACCTCTTATAATAACTAAAGTAATTGTTTCATGCAATAAGACCTGTAGGCTGGGGTGGACACCCTCTAAATTACTGTATTTCATTACATAAGAACTCATTAAAATGAATTTCTTTAATACTGAAGACAAGCTTCAGTGTCTGAATTATTATGTAGGGTAACAGGAAAATTACCATCAATCTGTCTGTGAGGCAAACCAGCAGTTGGACTAAGTTCTTCAGAAGACATCAAGCTCAACACCAAAGATGTATTCAGTTCTTCTAAACCTGGTCCAAACATAGCAAATCGTGGTTCATTCTGAATGATCAACGAGTGTAAAAAGGAGGTGACAGCTCCATACATAGGACGACTGGATTTCAAAGCTCTTCTTGCACATGGACAGCACATTTTATAACTGTATAAAATTGTCACAATTAGAAATTAATAGAGATTTAGCCAGCTGTTCATTCAAGAAGATACAATTTATTGAGCACTTGCTAGGCATAAGAATGCAAGGATTATATAGTTCCAATACTTAGGGGGGGTCCCCTGGGGAATAAATATCATTATAAATATATGCAGAGTGCAGTGATGGGGAAAAAGACAGGGCGGGGAAGCTGGAGAACTCCTCCCCAGGAAGTGGTGAGTGACTTCTGGCCTTTCATATAGATTCTCTCAGTGACACTTGCTCTAACATTTATTCCAATGGTCAGCATAGGGTAGTAGTAAAGATAAATTATATAGAAGTTACATAATTTGCCTAGAAATTAAAAAAACTTTACCAAGGCTATCAATATAATCAAATTTCTAAAGTGCCTCAATCAGTAACCTCAAATGTAAAGGTTCACTAAATGTTAAATATACAAGGAGGCTCAAATGATTCTTACAGAACACTTAGGAAACTAAAAGTTTTATGCAAGAAGCAATTTGGCTTCTTTTAACAGATATAATCTCTAGCACTTTTGCAACATACCAGAAATTATAAAGTTGCTCAAATCAAAGTAAAACTTAAAGCCTTTTAAATAAACCATATGGCAAAGATGATCACTAACCTAACAAAATTATCTGTATTAGAAACCTTGAAATTCACAAAGGCAAAAATCAAAACCACTAGCCCTGAAGTTAGGTGGACCATAGAGAGTTTCATCATGTCAATTATAAGGTCTGATCAGAAAAAAAGGTGAATATTTCAATTTAAATTTTTTTTATTTCAATGAAAGATATATTACCATCATTTCCCCTTGCTTTGAACACACTTATCCTATCATTCTTGCCACTCCTTGAAGCAGTTATGGAAGTTATTCTCTTTTGTGTCTTTAGTTGCACTATCTCAATATCCTGACTCAATTCAGAGTTTATCGTTCATGGTCATTTTAACTTTGGAGAAAAGCCAGAAATCACGAAGCACCAGACTCAGTGAATAAAGTGGATACAGACACACCATAATGTTTTCAGGAGCCTGTGTTTCCACTGGATGGCACCCCCCCAGCAGCATTTACCATGTTTTTGTAACACCCTGTAAAGACATAGCCTAAAAGAGGACCTCCAGAACTGCTTGGGAAAGTGGTAATAACAATCAGGTAAACGTGTATGAAGGGAGTGGGTATTTTGAGGGCAATTAATGGTAATGTGACTGTTACAGACTTATAAATTTTAAGCATTCACTGTATATTTTGACTACACTATATATGCAGTTCTCTTATAGTCTGAACTTCAGTTTCTGCTATATTATTGAGCAATAAAATCACAGAGTTGTAAGGATTATAAATACTTTATCTGATCATATATGATAGTTACTGTGATTATTATTATTCCCTGGGGAAAATCTGGTGACTCAGCATACAATAAACTTGGTGGTATGGTTGGCTTTGTGGCAGTGGCATTTGCTGAGATTACATACAACAAATCATGTACATTTTGACGAACTAGTTTCACAGATCTGGAATAAAACTGGGGAAAAAAATTTTGTATGTAGCTAGTGAATCCAGCACAGCAACACAATTTTTACCTAAAGCATAAATATTCTTTTAATTCCTTTGACTTTTAATTCCCTGTTGTCAAAGGAACTGTCAGTGACTTCAGATACAGTTGTACATTACTGGAGTTCTCAGTAAAGTTGGTTATATTCAGACCCAGTAGCCTGTATTTATCTTTAAGTTAGCACGATGGATTCCAATCTGAATAGTCCCTTAAAAACTATGACCTTAGGCAAATCACATTAACTTTTTGAGCTTTAATTCTATATTCATAACATAAAAGTAGAAAACATGTAGCCTGAGAATTGAATAAGTTAATATACACAAAGAATCGCCCATGGAATCCAGTTCAATAAGTTTGCAGTCACCGTAACTCTCTTATGTACTTTGTATGAATAAAAATCAATGCTTTTAAGTGACAAAATCTTATTTTTTCTTCCCTGCGGAAAGACTGCCTCCTGATCCCTAGTGACTTCTTTTCTCAATATGTAAAGTTTTTTACTATTTAACAAAATGACAAGTGTTACAAAGAGAATGAAAATTTTAAGAAGTATTTTATTTCTTAACATTTTTACCATATATAATTACTCCATAGGTAAATAACATCAAAGCTGAGGAACACAGTTCATCATATCTGAAGAATATAGTTAAGTCAACCTCTTATTTTAAGAATAGGACAGTTAGGCGGAGTGTGGTGGTGCACACCTGTAATCGCAGCACTCAGGAGAAGGCTGAGGCAGGAAGATTGTTGCAAATTCAAGATTAGCCTAGGCTACAAAATGAGTTGAAGTCCAGACTGAACTGCATAACGAGACCTTGTCTCAAAAAGACAAAAAAAAAAAAAAAAAGAGGATACGCAGACCCCAAATCCATGAAACAAATTAGTAGTGGGACCAGGACTAACACTAGCTATTGATGAAACACAATTATTATCTCTCTAATTCATAAAATGGGATACTTACACTGCCATATAATCAAATAATGCACTGTCAGTGACTTCAGATACAGGCTTTTTTAAGATTTCTAGATCTGGAAGAGACTTCCAGTCAACAGAAGACCAACAAGGAAGATCCCGTAACAGAAAATATCTCCACAGAATTGGATCCCGTATAATTTCATTCCAATAATGATTGGTACTTCCCAACTGACACAGATCATGCGGTGAAAGAAATGACAAAATATATAGCTGTACATCAATCTGAAACAGAGGAAATCAGAAACTTTATCACAGAAAGTTGTTGCTTGATGATAGAGAATAAATAATTATTATACTAAATAACTAATAGTCAATTGAATTAGTATTTTAATAATTAAAGCTATCATTCTGAAGTTATCTTCCTTCCACAAGGGAGAACCCTAATTGAACACACTAATTTCTGACACACTGAAATCTTTTTGAAAAATTAAGCACTATCCTCCTGTTTTTCAGGTACTATAACTGGTTCTTTTAATTTCTTATGAGTATTTTGATATTATAGTTATTTAAATCAGTTAAATAATTTGTTCTTTAAAATAAAACCTTTATCAAGTGGTCAATTTTCTGATTTTATCATTAGAGCAAATTTGTCATTTGAGTTCATGTATATAATCTAATAATCTAATATGTGGAACCTAAAAAAAGATGACAACAAAGTAGGAAGGAAGCTACTAGTAGACAAGAGGAAGGGAATAAGATGCAGACAAAGTACAAGGGTTTAAGAGGCAAAAGGGTCACAGAGGGGTGAAAATGATTAAAGTATGTTATATATAAGAATTAATTTTTAAAAATGATCTGTGTAACCAATTTAAAAAGTCATAAAAAAGTGATACTGTGATTTCATCTCAACCCAGTCAGAATGGCTATTATTAAGAATACAAACTGCAATAAATTTTGTTGCAAATGTAGGAACAAAAGAACCCTTCTACACTCTTGGTGTGCGAGTACATTAGTATAGCTACTTTGGAAATCAGTACGGAAGATCCTGAAAAAACTAAAATAGAACTATACCCCAGCTATACCACTCCTTTTATGTACACAAAGGATTTAATGTCAGCATACAATGGGGAAAGCTGCATACCAATGTTTATGGCGGTAAAATCCAAAGAGCCAAGATAAAGAACCAGCCTAGGTGACCATCAACAGATGAAAGGATGAAAAAAACATGGTGTGTGGTGGTATGCACAATAAAGAAGAATGAAATCACATCATTTGTAGAAAAATGGCTGGAACTAGAGATCATCACGTTAAGTGAAATCAACTAGACTCAGGAAGGCAATATACGGAAATCTAGAAAGAGAGAGAGAGGAAAACAGTAGACAGACATGGTCAAAAGGAAGGGAATAAGGACAAGGGGAAAGTGTGTGTAAGGGAGTGTATGGGGAGATGGAAATGATCAAACCGTTATATGAATGTATGAAAATACACTGAAATGTAGTATTTTGTAAAATTAACATGCACGGGGACTGGGGATTTAGCTCAATGGCATAAATGCCTGCCATGTGCAAGCACGCGGTCGTGAGTTTGATCCCTGGTACCGATAAAAAAAATTAATATGCACGAATAAAATACATTTTAAGAATTGTTTCAGAGAACACTGCAAGAGAAAGAACCTTGGGAGGCATTCTAAGCCGGCAGTTTTCAATTTGGGATGGATGTCTGGGAGAGATGTCAATAATCCAAATGAGACACAAAATTGCAGCAATTATCCAAAATTCTTATTTTCCCATCTAAAGTGAAAACTAACACTAAATAACGTATATAAGCTTTATGTACTGTTGCAATGTGACTGGGTCATTTACGTTAACTGAATGGCAGTTTTGCTACTTTGAATGTACAGCCAGATAATTACAATTTCCTTGGAGAGGTTTTGTTCTGGTTATCACCCAAGGGTTTTGCTCCCTCAAGCCGGCCTCCTCGGAAGACGGTGGAAACCTAGTAAGTGTCACTGCCTCAATGGGATGTGCAGGGTGTCCCAGCCCTAAGCGCCAGTTTGGAGGGGAGAAGACTTGGGGTGATCTGGCTGTCCGCCAGGGTGCTCCAGGAACGTGGGTTTGGCCGTGACCTTGGCAGGATGGGAAGGGCAAGGGGTCAAGGCCAAGGCGAGTCCTGCCGACCGCTGCCGCCAGGGAAGCCACAGCCGGGGCGGCGCCGACCCGGCCCTGCGCGCTCACCGGCAGCCGCATCAGGATACTGGTCTCCTCCCCCGCCTCCTCGTGGGAGGCCGTCCGCGCCGCCCTCTCCTTGCCCACCGACTGCCAGAACGTTCTCCAGCCGCTGAGGATGGCCGACTCCAGGCGGCCCCAGTCGCTGGGGGGCGGCGGCGAGGCGCTAGCCCCGCGGGCCAGCTCGCTTCCCGCCATGGCCGCCGCACGGCGCGTGACGCCGCCGCGCCGCCGCCGCGCCCGCCCCCGATCACCCGGCGCCGCGCTCCGCCCTCCGCCCCACCGCCGGCGGGGCGGCCTTCAGGCGGAGTCCGCGAGGAGCCGAGCAGCCCGGGTTGGCCCTGCTGGCGAGCTTCTCCTGGCCTCATCGCTGGCCTCCGAACCTCGGCCACGGCCGGGACACCGCTGTCCCTGTAGGACCCATCGCCCCAGCCTTAGAGCTGCTCGCGTTTGCTGGCCTAGGTGACTCCAGCTTAGTCGGTAGACGGCTCTCTTCTGTTACCCTGGGCTAAGTAATTGGTGTCAGCATTTGGTTGCTAATTTTCTGCCCCAATCTTGTGTTTAGCAAAAATTGAAACTCAGAGGGCCAGGCAGGAATCTGTAGAATTAAGATTCTCAGAAGCTGCCAGAATTATCAAAAGCCTACGCTGCACACTGACCTTGGATGACTGGCACATTGTGACGATGCAGGTGGAACATTGTAGATGGTACAGCCAAAATTATCTTGGGCTTAGTCCCTTTAATAGCCATTTACTTTCAGCCTCCGTACATGACCTGACATCAGTGTGACTATTAGGTAAAGACTCTTTAATTGCTAAACTTAACAGTCTTCTGCCCTTCAGCAATCCTGAAGCTACTGAAACCTGCAGAAAAAAAGTTTCCCACTTCGTTACAGTGAATCTACCTAGTACCCTGCCAGTGTACTTGGAATATTTTTTTATTTATGGCCTTCTTTCTTCTGTGGCTATAAAAGTTCATGTATCTCTTACATGGTAGAGCCATAGTTAAGGGTAAATTGAATCCATATTCCCAGGCCAAAGTCATTCATATTCGACTCTAAGTAAACTATTTCCTTGAAGCAAAATTGCTATTTTACGTCCTTTAAGTCCAATTGTAGGAGACCATATACCTGGGCCTGCTATGCAAAAATGTCATTTAATAATTACAATTTAATAATTGTTCAATGTTATAACCTTATAAAAGGCCAGAAAAAAAAACAGAAGAGAACCCAAGTACAGTATTGTTGAATCCCTCTAGTGAATTTCTCAAAACTAAAGCCCATTCTGTTCACTTTGGTTTTAGTTGTAAAAGGCTTTAAGAAACTGTATTATACAAAATACATTCCAAGGCAATCTATGATACAGAACTGAATGGTTTCTATACATAGGAAAGACAGAAATAATAAATTGTCATTTTCAAATACCCAATGCTCCAAAACTAGAGATAAGGTATCCTTACGGGAGACAGAAAAGGGGCCTTGGAAGGAGCGAGAAAAGCGTATTAGTCACCTGTGGGTTTTTAAAAATAGAATCAAAACCAACCCTATTGCTTAAAATAGTATTTCAAGCCAGGCATGGTAGCACATGCTGTAATCTCAGCACTTGGGAAGCTGAGGCAGGAGGATTGTTGTTAGAGGCCACCCTGAAATGCATGAAACTCAGAGTTTACTCATCATTTACTGATCATTTACTCAGATTTACTGAAAACCTGTCTCACACACACACACACAAATATATATATATGTGTGTGTGTATATATAATGCTGACTTTAAAATTGTAGATCTTGTTGCCCTTGAGTATATCCTAGTAGAGTTGTGCAAACATACTAGGTTTTAAGATAACCTAAATATCCTCATGTACTTAAGTCACAAACTTGATATATAATTCAGTGTATTTCATTTTGTTTTGGATTTTTCAAGCTTTATAACTTGAATTTATAGTGCAGGTACATGGTTCTAAAGTCAAACTACAAAATTCAAGATATACTTAGAAGAACTTAGCTCCTTTCCATCTGGATCCTTTCCACCTGGTCCTCCTCTCATCCCCAACATAGATATTTTACCTTCTGGTTATTCTATTGCTTGCTTCTTAAAAATAAATGTAAAACTTTGTTTGGGCGAGGGGGGGGGATAGGTTAAAAGGAGGAGAGGGGATTTGGAAAAAAAAGAATCAAAATATACCATTTACAGGTACAAATTCCCTGTAATGAGTAGGATAATTGTGTATGTCTAAAATGTACCAATAAACTTAAAATACATTTAAATAAGGTGATAACTTTTCTTTTCATAAACAGAATCATACTATATCTTTTTTGCCTTCTCACTTAGACCACTATTATACTTACATTTTATCACTACATAGTAGTCATGTGCATGTTACCACGGTTAATAATTTTTTAAATTACACACATATATTTAGATGGTTCATATTTCATTAGATGCCTCTGATTTGGGATTTAAGAATTAGACCCAAGGGTATCAGGCAGATTGATAAAATAAGTTTTAGAAAGGTATGTGTAATACTTATATGATAAATACTTTGAGAGGGGCTGAAAATGGTTTGACAATTATAGAGTTTCTTCTGGCCATATCCATACACATAAAAAATTGGGTTATCTTTCCTGTAATTTCTTCTGTGAAATCTGTTTCTCATCTACAACAACCAGTATGACATGGAGAAAGGAAAACTCAGTGCTTACAAGGCAACAAGTTTGTTACTCACTTGCTCTGGCTTTTGCTCTAATTTTGGATATGGAATGAGATATGCCTCGATGCCCAACTTCAGACATTCAGGAAAATATTTATTGCTAACTCCTGAGCTTTCACAATGGCTAGGCAAGAACTAAAGCACTCTGAATATTCATTCAATCTTCAGAACCCTGTCACACAGATACTATTAATGATCCTGTATTTTAAAAAGAGGACACTAAGGCCTAGAAAGACTAAGATTGATTAGCTTATATGGAGTTATGGTTAGGAAATGGCAGAACAGTGACTTAAACTTGGGCTGTCTGGCTCTAGAACGTACTACAATCCTAGCCATATGCTAACTTGTCTGGAAATTACTAGAAACAAATGAAATATTTAGAATAATAAGCTGAGGTAACAGAAATTTTCATTCTGATACAACAAAAAAGGAAAAGCAAATCCAAAAACAAGTAGAGGAATATGATTTTATTTTTAAAAAATTATGTAATCCAAAACATTGAACTTGGAAATTTTCACTAGTAGTAGGAAAAACAAAACAGAAAGTTGTAATATAAATACATAATGCATGCTTTGATTATGACTATTAAATGTATCTTCTTAATGTAATACTTTTTTAACATGGTATTTCATACTGTGTTAAAAAGACATACAAAGAAGTGACAAAAGGACTGCAGAATTCTGGATTCTGTGGCAGGTAGGGTATCCTTACTGGAGATAGAAAAGGGAAGGTAGAGAGAGAAAAGAGATAATCTAAGATTAGCATATTAATCACCTGTGGGTTTTTTTAAATGGCATTAAAATGAATCTGGGAATGCCTTTGATACAGCTCACACTGTAATGAGTATCGGAGAACTCACAAGAGACTGTTAAGGTAGGAATACAATTTTATGGTGAGGTTTAGCCACAATTCTCCTCTAGTGTACTGTAAGCAAAGGAATAAGGAAAAAGTTGTATTTCCACTTTAGTCAGCATCAATGAATTCACATAGTTAGAAACCTTACAAATGTAGGAAAGTAAGAGCTTAAGTTTTGGCGTGGTTTGTTTTCTTTCTTCTTTTTCTCTCTTTTTTTCCTTTTTTCTTTTTGGTACTGTGAATTGAACTCAGGACCCTGCACTTGCCAGGCAGGCACTGTGCCGCTGAGCTATATCGCTGGCCTCTTTAACCAAGTCTTAAGTCCAGCTGATGTCAGAAAATTCATACTGGGAAAATCACACGAGTGTAAACATTATGAAAAATAATTTACTACAGTTTAAATTTTAGTAACCAGAAAATTTAAGCTGAAGAGAAACCCCAAGTGTAAAAATATAACTAAATCTTTAGGTAACACCCATTAGTAAAGCCCACACTGAAGAGAAATACCTTAAATATAACAAAAAGAGGTTATAAGTAGTTTCTTATTCTTTATTATCAGAACATCTCTAAGAAAGAATGACTTTGTAAATGCACTAAATATACAAGGTATTTGGCCAACAGGGCAGAATCTGAAGACACAAATGCTAAAGCAGTGGACCGGTGATTAGAAGTGCCTTCCCAATCATTCTAAATAAAATAGCACCCATAGCCAAGTCACATTAGACCTTTATCCTGCTGTATTCTTCACAGTATTCACCACTTAACATGCTGTTTCTTAAAATCCTTTATCTAACTTTCTCCACAAGTTCTGAAAAAGGAGTGTGTTTACAAACTATATCCTCAGTACTCAAAACAAAATATGACATAGAGTAGGCACACATAGTTAACCAAATGAATGAATAAATTATAGTACTTTCACTATATGGAGTGTTTGGTAAATTGAGGTTATTTCATTCTAAATGAAAGAGAAATTATTTAGCAGGCTTTTGCATATACAGAAAGATGATGTTTATAATACACCAGAATAAATAGCATTTGTAACTGTTATTCTCCAAATGATTCCAGGATGCAATAGCTATAAAAAGCACCCAGTAATACCCCCATAATTGAACCAACCAGTGAATTGACAAATGGAACCTCCTAGTTTCTTAAGATAAAATTTTCTTGTTTCCACAAGTTTAGAATCTAGTAATACTTTACTTCTGCAAGGTGTGAATATGTCTGTCAGCCACTGGTGAAGAGGGGATGGCAGTTTGGAATCTAATAGCAGCAACTCTTTTGTGCGATTTGGCACTTAGAATCATGCCTCATTAATTTAAAAAGAAAACATCAAAAGGGCCTACCATGCATTGGACAGTATATATAAAGGTGAAGTTTTAAAATATGGCATGCATATAAAGCAACAAGGTTAATTTCATTAATATGGGAGCAGACAACTAAGGAAACTTAACAAAGGTGCATCTAGTTTTGACAAGAAAGAGCTGAAAAAAAATCCTTTGGACACAGTATTACTGAACCTGCGTCCTAAAAGATAAGCGTGCATTTATTTGGCCACAAAGAAGGGCAACAGAAGTAACGATGTCTAAAAAGTAATGAGGTTGAAAAAGGACAAGTACATTTGGGGAAGGAACTGGAAGTACCGGATTGATCACATTCTCCAAAGAGAAGGAGACAGTCTGTGCTTTTAGAAACCATATTAAAAATGATTTAGATCTTTATACTTAGGAAACACAAAGGTATTTTCATAACACAATCTGCTACAATAAATAAAAATCATCTTGCCCATGTAAGGATAAGCCAAAGGGATAACCCTACCTGGGCAGGGATAAGGGGTGCTTCTCTTGGCCCCAAAGGCTCTTTTAGAATATTATATGTTTACCAAAAAGGAGCTTACACATTCAGTGTTTGAGGAACACTGGACTGGAACATGATGGTATAAATGAGGTTGGGAAGGCAGGCATTTTGTGTTTTCCTGCTCTATAGTTGATCAAAAATGAGAAAAACATGAACCATAAAACATTCTGCATGGAAGATAAGGATTTGTTTTGATACAATGAACCTAAAATTACAGGGGTTGTTTGTCTAAGTGAGGGAAGCTGGGGTTCTAGTACTATTTTGAGTTAGCCTGATATAGGTAGTAGAAAAAGCAATTGTTGTAAATGATATAACAATATTATTTAAAGTAAAAGGAGAGAAAGAGACAGGAAAGAGAGAATTGAACTTTAGTAAAGATGAATATAGTAAAACAGTAGGTACAAAATGAGAAGCAACAAGAGAAATGAAATAGCACAGATGAAATCTTGTAGCATAGATTAACCTTCAATGGGAAGCAAATGACTTCTTTTTCTATAAAATGGGGGGAGTAACTTTGGCTAGTATCAGCTGATGTTAAGCCTGTTTTCTGTACAGTAGGGAGAAAGGGAGAAAGCCTGAAAAAAAATGAAATTTCAGACTCAGTCACAATGGGACAAGATATAAAGGCCAACCTGATGAAAAACCAAAGGCTTATAGTGATGGCTCTTCAAAAGCTCAAGTGAGATACCTTTAGTGATTCCGCTTTGAATGACTTTATGTTTTTCCCATGAAGTATCCTAGACAAAGTTTGTTAAGAGTTGATTCATTGTTGAGGGCTTATAAAATGAGTTGGCTAAACGACAAGACAGAAGAGGGAGCAACTGGTAACAGCAGTTTCTAAGGTGCCTACATGAAGCTGAATGTACACAGAGAAGCCAAAACATCTGAAAAGGATGATAGTGTACTAGTAAAGAGAGCACTGAAGAAAAGCAGGCTGTGAAGAAGCTACAGACTACAGAATAAAAGTAAAAAGAAAATTCAGTAATGTTAAAGACTAAAATAGCTGGCAGGATAAGAATTGTTGTCAGTTACTGAAATTGAAAATTTTAGAAAGTCTAACTCAGGATAGCTGGGGCTCAGGTGTAACCACGGAGAAAGATTTTGGAATGTGAGAAAGTCATTTGGGCAGAAGTCTCATTTACAGCAAGGTTTCAGATAGATTAGCCCAAGGTAACAGTAGGAACTGAGGTAGAGAGAAAGACAGTAAGCAAGTTATCAACTTAGGCTCCTTGAACTTAAGTATTTCAGCAACTACTGAAAGTAAAAAATATTAAAATTTCAAAACAGTATGAAAACATATATTCTAATAGTGTATGAACTAACCTAAGTTATTTTTATCTTCATTACTTGAGGAAACATGCATTTTAAATAAAATAGGAAAATAATTTTTACATTTTTATAAAATGTCTAAAACAAGTAAAAATTTTAAACAAGACTATTAATACACAGCAAAATAAACATAAATGATTCTTTTGTGGAGCCTTTTGCTACGCACATTATTACAAATGAAGTCTAAACATTAGTCATAATTTTTCATTTTGCTTACATTTATATCACTATGTAGTCAAAGCAATGAAGCGAACTGATTTTAATATTTGAAGCATGGCAAACTTTAAGACAAGGAAGATTGAATTTCGTGTTACATAAACTTTATCACAATTTAAAATAACCTAACACAGAAAAACAAAATCATACTAAAGTTAACTTGAGTTTTCCTTACTAGTGACAGGATATCTAGTTCAAAGTGAAATGGAATAATATATACACCAGTTTAGAAATTAAAGAATCATTTCTACATAGGCTTAAGAATATATAATGAAAGATGATGATAGTATTATAAAAAAGAGGACCTAAACATACTGGCTAGCTTTATGTAGTGTAATATTTTTAGAATAATATGTCTTCTTTTCTGAAACTTTTTTCCCATTTCATGGATCTTTTTGTCTTTCTCACTGAAAAGGACTAGATGAGCTACTAGTTACAGCGATGCTGTAAGAAATTTAAAATTTGCTTTGCATTTGTTGTATTCCATTCTTGTTCTTTCAGGGGTCCTTCACACACAGATACATACTTTTTCAATATTTTTTCTCCTACTTCTCGAAAATCCAAGGGTTCTTTCTGCGTAGTACAGCTGGCTCCAGAAATACCAGTATCCAATTCATGATTATCTAGCTGTTGATCTCCACAATGCTTCAAACCCCAGTAGCACATTTCTCCACTGTACATCATAGCCAGCAAATGGATATCACTAAATATTCCTGGGAAAGTTATTGACATTGAGGTATTAGAATTATACATTTAAAAAGGAACTCTGGTTATTAGAAGATGAATGAACTCTTTCTCATAAAGCTTTCTTCATCTCATTAAACACTTTAAAAAGCCCAGTATTACTATTATGACCTTAATTTAACCAGCTCTTGTATTTTACCTATACAAGAAAGATGGCATATTCAAAAACAGAATATTGTCAAAGAATTTTTTTAAAGAAACATGTAAGTGTTCTTAATCTTTCTTGGAAGGTGTGGGTCCTTTTGATGACCTTTAACTTCTTCAGTTATAACCCCTCACAGAAATAGACCCAAAATGCTGCAGACAACTTTTAAATAGTCTCTGAATCCCATTCACAGACACGACTTTTATTCTGGGATTGCTGATGTAAAAAGTCATATATCATATACCTAATATATTTCTCCATGAATGTACCAAAAGTATCATGTGCCAACATGTCTTTACAAAGCTATATAATTCAAATTATCAAAGATGATAATTAGACCCAAAACATGATTTGTATTCCTAGGAGAGAGAAATATACTGCATAATTGCCATCAAAAGTTGAATGCATCTTCTTAAATTATTCCAGTAGATAATTATATAATCATTTATGTTATTCAAAGTATACTAATTTAGTAGAAAGATAAATAGAATCAAAAAGAGCTGAATATTAATCACTGGTTTTTGATTTTGAGCAACATACTAAACTAAGACTAAATTTATAAATCTGAAAAATTAGGATTCTACATGACCTACATAATTCAGAGAGTTCTTAAGGAACAGATGAAATTGAAATGTTTACGTTTCAGAAAACAAAGCATCACCAACACACAGTTATTTAACTTAAGGTCACTGCAGTACAAATAAATTACTTATGCTGAATTGCTTGTGTTTTCTAGAAAAGGTTACCTCAAGTAAATGAGCATAATAATCTCAGCTATTCAGCTAATATAGTTTAAAAGAAACTGACTACCACATCACAAGATCCAAAAAATGTAGCTTTCAAACCTGTTGTAGTCTCTATTGTTTTTAACCTACAGCAAGCTTGTAAGTTTCAGGTTTGCCCTTACAGCTATCACCTTCACCTTACCTCTAGCTCAACTTATAAATAGAAGCAAGAGAAGCAATAGTTTCAGTAAAAGTGCTGACTCATTATTGTATCAATAAAAAAACAAAAAACCATTAAAGAACAAAGTATGAGATTTACATTTATAGATAGTCTATATTTTATATGAATAAAATAGCATCATGTAATAAGTACAATACATATTACAAAAGAAAAGTATTTTTTTATTCCTTTGTAATTAAAAGATAAAACATTTCAAAAAGAAGCATAATTACTGCATTAGAAATTACTCAGAATTATTTTCTATTAGATATTGCACTTCACTGTATATCATTATTTGTGTGATCCCACTGTTATTCCTAGAGACAAACAAGCAACAACAACAACAAACACGGTGCAAAAGAGTAAGGACAGAGGTTAAATTAGAGGGCTGGTCAAATTTTCAGTAAGAACAGAACCTCCCTGGGAGAGGAGCTGAAGTATGTTCCACAGACTGAAACTAGGGACCTGAGGGTAAGAAGTACTGCCTAGAAGAGATCAGAGACCCAATTTATGCCCCATTCTTTAGGTTAGTTTCATTTTTTACATGAGCAAGAAGAAATACTGTTCACCAAAGAATAAAGATAGTCTAGGTAAAGTATTACTTGAGAAAGAATGAATAGTCATCTGCCAAGAGTGTTTATCAAACTTTAGCTTGCTTTAGAATTATCTGGCAGACTTACTAAAATTCTGCCTAGTGTGCCCCAACTTAGAGTTTCCAATTCTGGCATGGGGCAGAACCTATAAATTTGTATTTTTTTTAAAAGACATTTCTAGGACCTAGGGTGATGCAGCTGATGTTGGTGGTAATCAATGGACTACTATTTTCAGAACTACCGCATTAAAGTATCAGAGGAAGAGATATAGCTCAGGGGCATAAGTGCCCACCTGGCAAGCAGGGGGTGATGAGTTTGATCCCTGGTACCAACAAATAGAGTATCAGAGGGAGAGGTTAACGATTGGCAGGGTACTTGCCTACCATGTGGCCTTGGTTTCAACCTCCAGTACTACAAAATAAAACACAGAGCCAGGCATGGTGATATATGCCTGTAACTCAAGCCCTCTGGAGTAGTGAGGCACAAAGTTTGCAAGTCCAGATCCAATGTGGGCCCATCTCAAAAAACCTTAAAAGGCAATGGGGATATAGTTCAGTGTGAAGACCCTGTGTTCAATCCTGAGGACTAGAAAATTTTGTTTAAAACATCAGAGGAAGAAATAAATTTTGTACATTTTTCTCCTCTACTTTTATAAGGAGTTCGATAATCTAGAGGTACAACTGCTTTTATGAATTTTGCTCAGTTTTTTCTTTTTCTGTTAATACTCAGAATGCTTTTTTCAATAACACACTTTATTATGCAATGTGCATGTTCAAGGTGAATGTATATTCTAATAGCAGGGAGAATGTATGTGTCATGGAGAGATGTGGACAGGGAAGGAGGGGAAATATAATACATGAAGTGAGATTGAGGGAAATAAACGATTTCCATTGAAAAAAGGTACAGGATGGTATCTTCTATGCTCCGTCCTTTCTGCATCCTAACAACTAACTGAACGTAAGTTACTCAAAATAAAATTCCTGGTCTTAATACACTGAAAGAAACCTGCATGGGGTACAGAGGTATGCATTTTTAATAAACTTCCCAGGCTACTAGTAATACCAGTTTATATCTGCCTTTTATTGGACCTAAATGAAATCTAGGTTCTGCTTTAAATAATTAAAGAGCTGCAGCAGCCAGGTATGGCAGCCCATTCCTGCAATGTCAGTACTTGGGAAGCTGAGGCAGCATGACTGCAACAAGTTCAACATTATATAGTAAGTTTGAGGTTAGCCTGAATTACATCAGGAAACCATCTCAAAAAAAAAAAAAGTAAAATACAACAAAGTATTCAAAGGGCTGCAGCAGTAGGAGGGTCCCCAAGAATATTTACAAAAAGGCACAAGCAGAACAAGGTGGTATATGGCTAGAATCCCCTAATTGGAAGGCTGACACAGAAGGATCACCTCAAGTTTAAGGCCATTGTTGACCACATAGTGGGTTCAGGACCAGCCTAGAATATATAGCAAGATCCTGTTGGAAAAAGTAAAAAAAAAAAAAAAAAAAAAAAAAAAAAAAAAAAAAAGGCTACAACTTAGGATGTGAAAGCTCAATAATATTTCAATTTACCCTAGAGACAATTGACTCTAGTTGTATTCTGATACAGCTATTTTCATAAGCCTTTTATCTGATAAGGTTGTGCCAAAACATTCTCTGGGCTACACTTCAACTTTTGGATAACATTACTCCAATGTTAATGACATGTAAACTTCATTTTTTTATTTTTAAGAAATATTTTCAAAGAAAAAAAGCCTAGAGAAATTAACAAATAAATAGGAAGAATTAAAATATATTAAAATTATAGAATTTTCCATATAAAGTTTTCTTATTAGTGCTCGTATTTCTTTTTCCACACAAAAATCTCAGGTGAAGTATAAGCAAAAGAAGTTTACTTGTATGATCAAATGTCACCTGTAGCTAGGTGGCCCTGAGTAGGTCACTTGGTTTACTTATCAATACTGGAAGGCCAGGCAAGCAGATAATAAATTCAAGGCCAACATGGGCAACTTAGCAAGATCCTGTCTCAAAAAGTAAAAATGAACTGAGAATGTAGCCCAGTACTACCAACAAACAAAAAGCAATGGTAAATGCACACATTTCACATTTCAGACTAAAACTGAAAAACTGCTTTATATCTAGTTCCTAGAATTTCTAAGTACAAAGATGTCTGTGGCAGAAACTTAAAGCTGCCACCCAATATTCATTCACCTCCCCCAGAAAAGAACTTTGGCATCAAGGTAGGACTATAATCCCCAGCTTTCCTTCCTAGGTGAAGTCATCTGATAAATTCTGGTCAGTGAAATGTGGTTGACGTGTTGCTAGAAACTTCTGAGAAGGATGCTATAAGGAAGCTAACTTAGCTGAAAGAAATTCCCTTCTGTCATTGCTGCCGTCTGAAACACATAAGAGATGGAGAGGGCTCCAGAAATATCTAGAGACACTGAGATTGGAAACCATATCCTAAATAGCTAGGCATGCTGCACAGCTATAAAAGTATTTATATTTACTACATTCTATATAAAGTACCTCTCTCTGAAGCTTAAGGGCTATGGTTCTAAATATGATGGAGAAAAAGACAAGAACACAGTGATGTCATAGAATCACTATATCAGTTCTAGGCCTTTATAATGTGAAAGAGATCTAAATATCTACCTTGTTTAGAACTTGTTTCTAGTTTGATAGTAATTAGGTCTAATCCTGTTATATTCATAGTAACTTAGGATACAAAACAAATAAAAGTGACATGATACAAAACTCTCCCACAATTACTAATCAAAGGATATTAGAAGTATTTAGGTGAAAACATTTTAATCTTTGAATTTCTTTTTAAAAAACAGATGTTAAATTTCATTTATTTAGATCAGAATAAAATCTAACAAACTTCCTACAATTGTTAAAAGCTTTACATCACTTAAAAATCTGTAAAAAGTGATTACATTACCTGCGCTCAGTAATTTAGCTGTGTCTAGGTCTTGGAAAGAAACTCCTTCATTTAACTGGATAGGACACCGATAGTTTAGCATCTGTAGCAAGTAATTGATCCCATCAACAAGGTACTAAAAAAGCCAAAGAATTGAAAGTTTTACATGCAGAACTACATAAACTTCAAATATTATATTTCTCCATTCTTAAGAAGAAATGGACTAGCACACAGAAAAACCTAATATTTATTGTATTTCAACAGTGTTGGAGATGCAGCAACTCTAAGACTTTCATAATACAAGTACTGACTATGAAAGAAATACAAGATGATGATCAAAAATGTTATCAGAGGAAAAAAAGAACTACAATAATTGAGTTTTAAAACAATTAAAAATAGGTATATACTTTTAGAAATGTTATAATCAAAAATATCTGAAAGTGTGACCACTCATTTCCAAGTCCACCTAATTATACGTATGTTCACCTTGACTTAGAATGCACAGTGAAACAATACTAAGACCCAGGTCTTTGGATTTAATGATTTTCTGAGAACATACAAGGCAAATCAGAGGCCCATAATTTTCTTGGAGTAAGGTCACATGGGTTTGATTTGCTAACAGAGGAAGGACAACAGTCTTTTCTTCAGGTCAAAAAAATATGCCAAGAAACTAATATAGTTTATATTGGATTTTAAAAATTAAAAACTTAGAAGTTACAAAAAAGACCACGAGAAACACCCCAAATGACAAAATGCTTTTACATGTTACCTTGTCAGGTCGTCATAGAAATTCTATTTGTTTACAATCACATAGCTATTAAGTAAAAGATGTAGAATGCTCTTAATAATATAACACAACTTTTGTAACCTATAAATGTCAAAAATTAAAAATGTGTAAGAAATGTTGTTTTACCTTTTTAAGTAAATTAGATTTCCTCAAGAGCCATTCTCTTCTTTTAGTCAGAGAGTGACAATACATATACAGTAGGGCTCCTCGTCTCCAAGAGAGACATTCCAATAGCTCGTCCCCAAGCAAACTGCAGTGCTGAAACATGAAAAAGATACAGTTAAAAGAGAAACCTGGTTTCTGTAGTGGGAAGCAATATCCTAAAAATTTCAAACATTTGAGTAATTTTTAAAAAATCCTCATTTCACAAAGTGTGCCCACCTTTAGATACAAACACAAGAATAACTACCTTTTAATCAAATAGAAATACAGAAATCTATTGCTACATTAGAATTAAAATCTCTTCAATTACTGTTTTTAAAAAACTTTAGTAGCAAATTCTAACATATTCAAAATATATGCTGTAATATGATTTTTAAAAAATCTTACAAATATTACTTGAATACTATTCTTTAATGGAAATGTTAAACGGAGTAAGAATTAAGTAGTAAGAAAAAAATAATGTAAAAGTACACAAAAATAAGTTTACTAAATAAAAATTCTTAAAATTATGGATGATTTGTTTCCATAGTTTGTTTTCCCTAATAAATACACAGAGGAAAGAAAATATCTAGATAGTTAAAGATAAGAAATTATTTGCTTGAGAGCACATCTAGGACTAGAGACATAAACCTGGAAATCCTCTGAGATGACTGTAAAAACTACATGAACAGAATAGTACTGGGGTAAGGAAAAACACATCAGGAGGAAACTGTATATAAAATAAAGAAGAAAAGAGACACTAGGAAAAGAGCAAGAGAAGATGTCTTAGAGACAAAAGAGCCAAGACCATGCAGGGGCTCCAAGGACCTGGATGACCAATGTTAAGAATGAAAGCAGATAGATGTTCAGGAGGATGAGAAGCATAAAAAGGACAGTGGGTATGTTTACTAGGTTACCAGTGGCCTTCCAGAAAAAAAAAAGTAAAGTAGAAGTAGAGAATATCTACATTAAGAAAAGGATTTACACCTAGGTACGGTGGCACATGCCTATAATCCCAGTATTCAGGATGCTGAGGCAGTGGGATTGCTGAGAGCTCAAGATCAGGTTAAGCTACATGAGCGCAAGGCCAGGCTGAACTACACAGGGAGATCCTATCACAAAAAAAAAAAAAAAAAAAAAAAAACAGAAATCCAAACAAATAAAGAAAAATGAAAAGGTACTATGATTACCATTCAATTATGTGAATATTCTGAAAATATTTAGTAAAATATGATATTCTACTATGATACTGGTCTGTATGTAGTGTTAAGTTCTCTTTTATTTCCCTCTGTTAAAACAAATAAAACCACATTTAAGAAAAAAAAAAGCGGGGCTGGGGATTTAGCTCAGCGGCATAAGCGCCTGCCTTGCAAAGCAGGCAGTAGTGAGTTCGATCCCCGGTACCGATAAAAAGGAAAAAGACAAAAAAAAAAAAAAAAGCTTTGAAAGAGCAGGATAGCAAGAACTGCAGGATTCCCCAATAATTCATAATGCAAACTTACGTTTGGGTGCATATTATTTTCTTTAACTAAAATTTCTGGTTCTGAAAGAAAACCAATCAGTTCTTTTACTTTCTGTGAAGAAGAGTCTTCAGGAAAATCTTCATCTACTAGCTTGTTTTCCTCAAAATATGTCATGTCCAAAATAGCCTTAAAGAGGTAAAAGGCATCTATAAATAATCTAAAACAATGAGCTCTTTTGAGTTTAACATTGTGTATATAAATGCTTTAATAAACATTCAAATCTTTTGGCACATTAATTAAATTTGTTAAGTAGGCAAAATGACTAACTGTAAAAATAATTTCAGATACATATTATAGAAAACTTCCTAAGTATTCTACTAAAATATTGGGTTAATGATCATTTTGTTTCTCTTCAAGAAGTAAAATGGAGCTTAACGTTTTAATTAACATGTTACTCATATACTATTATGAAAGATCATATATTTTTGCTCTTTATACATACATATAATCCCTGAAATTTTTCTAAATGTCTACAGTAATAAAGTTATCACCTCTAATTTTATATACTAAATCTTCAGAGAATTCATTTTCCTAAATATACAACTACTATTTAAGAGCCATATATCTTAACAGTGGAAGTATATCATCAACATATACAGTTCAAACTCTAAGCCTCTAGCAGTCATAAATATAAGCAGTGCTCTATTCAAGCATATTAAATCTTCTCAATCTTTTTTTTAACCTAGTAGATCAAGACAGAGAAAACTAAATTCTAGTATCAATTCTAAAACTAACCATCCTATCTAACCAAGAATAATTTTAACACAAATCAATTTTATCTTTTTTGAAACTCCGTTTCTTCAATGGAAAATGGTAAACTGAACTAATGCCTGTGAGAAAAAAAGCTATAAATAAAGTACTTGAAACACTATATAGCACGCAATAGTATTAAGTGGTACATGTCATTGTGTGGAAGGCCTAAGTCAGAAGAGAGATCAGTAACCTATGGAAAATGATCTTTTGACTCTAAACAGTAAGAAGGTTTAAGCCATTTCAAAAAATCTGTACATCAAGATATGATGCCTTACCTTCAAAAAAAGTTAAAATGTTTAGGACCACCTTTCACCCCCTGCCAGCTGAAAGACAGGACATCTACCATATGTAGACAAGAAAGGAAAAATCTGAGAGGAAAGAAAGCCAGGAAAACTACCTGCAAATTATAGCAGTTTTTGGAGGTTTGTTAATAGCTGTTACAGGATCAGTCATGATCTCTAGAAGAAGAAACCATCTTCATGAGGTACTTTTTAACAAAAATTATAGTCCCAGCATATACCTGCTCTAAATATGCACTCTGGAAATAACTAGCTATTCTATTTAATAACCATTGTATCTTTATTATCCTTAGCAATAAAGAAAGGACATATGAAAGCACTTTATCAACTATAAAGTACAATATAAATATTAGTTACATAATGAAATTTTATTTCTTAATGTCACATTACCTCAGCATAATTTGCAAAAGCTAAAAAAACATTGTCCACTCAATATGAAAGCATAGTAGAAAAAAATAGACAACCGAAAAATCTGTAAGTGTATGCGACACTAACATTGGGAAATCATATTGAGAATCCAAAAAAAAAAAAAAGAAATTCAGAAAAAAAAAGGTATTAGGGCTCTTAAGAATTCCCTACTCCCTCTAGAACCTTCAGGACTTTAAAGCATGGCATACGTTAGTATTCTGATTAATTATGCATAAAGAGAAGCAATTCTGTTATCTGAAAGGTATTTTCCTGGACCCCTATCAACACACATAATATATCTCAACCTTTAAGATATTGCCTCAATGTTTCAAGACTAAGTGCTTTAAGCATACGTTTTTAATAAATTGATCACATTTTAAAATAAAATGTCAGAATCTACCTCTGTTTCAGTACCTGCGTGTAAAGTTCTAGAAGATTGGATGGATTCGAACATTCTTTCTCTTCTCCACACAAGAGTTTCAACTTTTCTAGAGCTGCAGAGGCCCGAATTAAAAAGTGATCTTTAAAAAATAAAAACATGATGATTACTTCACATAAGTTCAGTTTGCCACTTAAAGTTATGTATCTGAAATAATGAAAATGGTATTATGGCATATAGAGAAATAGCAAGATACTAATAATACCTTCGTCAAAGCATACACTAATTATGAACCGTAAGTAATCACAAACATTTTTGTAGGAAGACTAAAAACTTTTTATATTCACTACTGCTACTTCTTAAATGTGGCCTGTATTTGCAAAATGCTTCTTATATAATGCCAGTGCACTCAAAATGTTTAAACAATACATGTAGAGAATAGTAAGAATACATAAAGCTAAAGAGGGCATTTCCCCTGAAAACATGTATGTTAATAAATACAATTGCAAATGTTTCCAAAAAATGATTAAATCAAATGCTTCATAAGCTAGCACTGCAAGAAGTTACAACTTTATCGTGCTTGTAACAGCTGTAATTAGATTATGTCTGTATTTAATTCCTTTAAAAGTTAGAAATGAAAAAAAATTACTTCATTTCTTCAAAACCTGGAAAAAGTACAAAATTCTTCTGATATTCCCACTAATCAGAATGTGTTTCATCTCCCTTTCTCTGTCTTTTAATATTTTTGCTTTTTCTACTGTTCATTACTCTGTCTTCTATCATTTCAGTTTTATGTGTTTACACCAAAGTCCTATCTACCATTCCACTTCACTCATGTAGTATGTAGATATGCCTATTATAGTATAAGACACTAAAATCCCTCAGCTTGTCCCTCTGTGCTTCTCTGAAATATAAACCCTTTTCTCTTTATCAGTCAATGGACAAATAATGTAGCATTTGCTATGGGCCCATCTAATCCAGTCTCTTCAGTACAATAAAGATAGCTATTTCGTGTTGGGGCAAAAGCATCACTAGGTTATGTCCACTATGTAAAACCTTAAGTTTTCCGACTAAGGAGTAACTTGTACCATCTACTGATGCTCATAAGAGCCTTTATTTGCCTGAGGTAAAAGCTACTTCTGGTAGTGTTCCCATGTTTCCTCAGGCGAGAAATACTAATCAGAGAATCCATAAGAAAAGACTCTACTGAGAAATGTATGAAATATAGCACCCCTTATATGCTTAGAGATTTTGTTAATACCATTTTGAGAGATTATTTTAAATGTAAAGAAGTATGTGTCTGAATTAATAATCACTGCAGGGCAGATCTGGTGGTGGCACAGCTCTCATTTTGGAAAAATCCATAAAAATGCAGCACTTTTATTAGAAATAGTCTAAGTAATGACTAATAAGATAAAAGATACAGGTCACTTTTACACAATGTTTGGGAAAAACCCCTCTTACAGTATATCTCCATACAAGAAACATAGTATGCTTGTACAATAAGTAGTAAATAAAAATTAGCAGTAAAAAAGACAGTATTCGTAAGTGGAATAATGCCCAGCTGTATTTGATCTAAAATCACAATAGGAACTACAACCTACTATAAGAATATACTTGTTCCACTAAGGGACAATATTTGAATGTGTGTTTTTTGTTCTATGGAAAAAGAATGCCAAATTTAATTCAAATACAAATAACCTTTTTGTAATTAAAATTCCTAAGAAATATTATTTGTAATACTTTAATAAGATTGACTTGAATACCGATTAATAGCTCATAATGTAGACAGCTACTATCATAATTTAATTTTAGTAAAATTTCAGGAATATAAAGCCTTCAAACAAATATACAAAACCTGACTTACTTCTAGGTCTCATTCTAGACTGTATTAAAGAATTCTTCCAAAGGAAATTGAGAATGGATTTTGAATTCAGTGATAAATGCACCAAAAATACTCTTGCATTTCTTTCTATTGATTCAAATAGAATTGGACATGGGGGAAAACTTGGATACCTTTCCAGTAATAACTAACACTATCCATGAACTATTCATGTGAATTCTAGGATTCACTTTCCACAAACCAAAAATGAAGTTGGCTTCAGTATTGTCTGTAGGTCTTTCAGAAACATATTCCTGGGAAAAGATCATCAACAATCTTCTCTGAAACTAGCTCATTTCCTCACATACCCTATCTCATAACCCTATTCAATAAATTCACCAACTTTTCAATCACTTCAGAAAATATTCCACTACTGTTATCCTGTGAACCTGATGACTCATGAGTCAGTCTACATCAGTTTTAAAACTTATCCGCGGTAAAGTCACAAAACCCAAAACGGAGTAACGTAGAACCTAGAGGAAACTCAGAAACAGTGAAGAGTTATGAATTTGAGATTGAAAGTCGAGGCAACTCCCAAGCCAGGTTTTCCTAAAGACAGTTGAGTCCTTTCCAAACCAAGTATTCTAACATAGCACCCTTATGAGATGATGTATATCCAAGAATCCTCTAAAGTACATCAACGTAAAACTCTTCAAGAATACAGGTTATAATTGAGTTTTGAAACAAAAAGTGATAATTTTCAACACAGGATTGTCAGAATCGAAGTGTAATACGTATCTTGTCTTACTGATGCGAAATCACTACCTATTTGAATACTCTCAGTTTAACCATTAATTTAAACGCTTCCGTGTAACTTTATACACTTTCCCCAATCGTTACCGACAGGGTTAAATCCCACAGCACAGATCTGGATCACAGGCAAACAAGGCAGACTTCGTAAGTTATGCAAAATGCAGTTTACAATGCAACGTGTAGGCATTGTGAGTTTTACAAGGAGGGCAAAGGAGGCCCAGTCCGAGATCCGAGGAGCAAAACCTCGGACAGCGACGACCCGGGACCCCACCCCCACCGCAGCCACGGCCACCGCCACAGGCCGCAGCCTCCAGCCTTACTGACAGCGAGCGCCAAACTATAACTCCCATCCGTCCGCCCGCGTCCCTCCCTCTGCCCCCTCACCGTCTTCACCCGCGGCTTCGCTCAGTTGCTGTATGTGGGCTTGAGCCAGGTCACCGAGCTCTTCCACTCGCCTCACCACACTAGAAACCGCGGCTTCCATGGCCACAACGGGCGGGCGCGCCCCGGCCACGTGACCGTCCCAGCCTGAGATCAGCTGATTCCCGCAGCTTGGCGGGCCGTGAGGGCGGAGCTGAACCCGCTGGTGGGCGGAGGCACATGCTCCGGAGGCGGGCCGGTCCAAATATGCAAAGGTTATTCCGGGTTACAGCCCGCCTCCAGACTCGGTTTCCCTCCCATGATTCTGTGCGAGAGGAGCCCGTGGCGCTTGTGATGCACCGGCACACCTCCTTCCCGCCTTCTTTTCTAAACCAATCGCTAACTAAGCATGTCCCAAGCTGACCCAATGAAAAGACTGGTTTCTCTAGTGTCGGGAAGAAGAGCGAGCTAGGCGCTGGCTGTCAGAAAGAGGGCGGACCCAAAGCCGTGAAAACAAGGATTGTCGGGTTTGGAGGTGTGGTAAAGAAAGGTAGCCTAAAATAAAATTATTATAATCTCTTGGTCAGAAACAAAACCCTTCTAAAGTCCGCGAGGAGCTCTCTGGAGGATCAGAGGGGAGCACCAAACTAGCGAAGGGTTTGAAACACTTAGTATATTGGTTTTGGGATGAATGATGCAACCAGATTGGAAAAAGTGGTTTGTAATTTCCCCAAAAAGTTAAATGTAGAATAATCACATTGTTAGTGAGCTTTGGGGCATTGGAGTCTCCTTCTAAAGGTGGTTTCTGAATGGACTCTGTCCTAAGCAAAGAATTGTTCAAGACAAATCAAACTTTCAAGAGGTTTTATGTTTATTAAAAGGAAGAAAAAGAAATGGTGTAGTGAAAGTTTGGGCCAAGTGAAAGTAGAAAAAGAAGTAGACTTCACAGCATGAGAGAGGACCACTGTGAAAGAAAACAATAGCCCAGAGCTCACTGATGACTGCTTTTTCCCACCTCCCACTCCTCAGGCCGACATTAGATCTGAGCCATGGTATCCAAACTGCTCAGGTTCTCATTAGAAAGACAGGCAATAGCACTCTGAGTGGGGCCACAGCAGGGCTTTGTTAACTGCCCTGTGCATGTGCCCTGGAACTTTGTTATTGTCATGCCCACTTTCCTAGCCAATTTGCCAGGCCCCAATCTCCTGCCTCATATTTTCCTGAGAGATTTCCATCCCCATAAATCTTTATGCAGTGCTGAGGGAGTGAAGCTCTCCATCTTCACGTAGCTACATCCTACTGAAAGAAGCTATGGGTCCTACCTACTGGGAATTATGTTCTCTCCAACTACCTTGGGATGTTGTAGCTCACTGGCTGGCCAAAGAAATAAAAAAGAATAATGAAAAAAATGTTATTATCTATATGTGAAAGACCTTTTAGCTACCTATTTGATGGAGAAAGCTTGATGAATTTTTCAGGAAAATTATTTTATTGCTAGTTTAGGAATGTAGAGGTCAAATATGAGAAGGTGTGGGACAGATTTCTATGCTTCCTGTGGAGGACACAATATGGCAAAGAAGGATATTAAATAAATTATCAAAAGCCTAAAAGCCATAGCCTTGGCAAGATTACCCCATTATAGATTAATTCAGAATGGGAGGCAACACAGGTACATTTATGCTGTAGTGAATTATGTCATTGCTTTTTAAAAAGGAGCCTCAGGTTTTCCAGAATTTCACAGGTGTAGAGTGTTAGTCTTGTGAAAATTTTAGTACCATAATCCATGTAGGATTTCCCATGTTAGGTTTCTATTCCAATTCCTTGGAGAATGACTGGATTAATGGTCTCTCAGGAACTGGGAATAAAACTAGGGACTTGAAGGGTTGCAAGGTTGTCTTTTTTGCCTCTCTGCTAGCCTCCTATTGATTTCCCAAGGAGATTTTAGGCAAGCCTCACTGGGGTCCCTTTCAATGAATGACAGTCTATCTTTTCATTTGACTTGAATGACCTGTTGTGAATTGATAATTGCGTAATCTGGTTTTTGGTGCCCTTCTTGGAGAAAGTTAATTCCATCAGTGAATCACACCTCCTTAGAGTCTTGGAGGGGTGTGTTACTGATGTCTCATTCGCTTGCAAGTCCTGGGAAATCATCTGTTCATATGAGATACTAACTTCTGAGCCTGTAGGTATCAAAGAGATAGGATTCAGAATAGTGTGCATCTTTATAGTGACCTCAGAGGCATCTAAGAAATATTTTCTGACATAGTCCCAACAGGTAAAACTCTCATTTGTCCTTTTCTAGAATTGGAGAATTGTCTGTAGTTTGTTAGTCTTCCTAAAAAGGGAGTGGGACACTGTAGGGCAATTAAAAATTTATGGTTGAACATTTGATCTTCACAGTGACATGTCAAAGCAGGAATAAAGAAGTTCTGACTACATATCTCCTTAATACCAATTATGGCTGTAGAACTAGGGGAAAGTTTTCTAGGGAAGGAAGTTAAAAAAGAAGTGAAAAGAATTGAAATTGCTTACCCATGAAATCCAGGATCTGGGTTTCTCACAGGAGATGGAGATGTTCATGCACGAAGGCATTGCAAGTTACCCCAAGCACTTCTACATCAGAATGGGAGCTTGCAGCAAGAAATGTTACCCCCCAACACTCAGTACACTTCAGTTTGTTAGTTGTCCAGATAATAGTTCTGGCTACAGTTCCTGTTACTTTTGTTTCTTAGAAACAGTTGGTCACTGTAATTTATAGCTGGTCACTATGTTGCATATTGTAAGACCCATCCCCCAATCAACAAGCCTTCTGCCTCTGTATTTTCCACTTGCCTATCATATGTAAGCCGTACACCACCAGAGATCAGGGCCTAATATCTTGGGAATGACCCTGGTCAGTGCCAGTTGACATAATATAAATCTGCCTCCAAATCCTGGGTATTGTTCTGTTGTTTCTGCTTGCCATTGCATCTAGTACACTGGCCAGGAAGACTATCCATGATGACCTATTTGTTCACTAGTCATGGCCCTTGAGAATGGAGTAAGGTCCTCCCCAGTTCCAGATGGGAAGGCACCTCTCAAGATTTCTTGAATGACCCTTATAAGTCTGGCAGATGATTCCTGACTCCCTGCTTGGGTGGCTCACATTGGACCCCAAAGGGAGGAGGATGAAATCTGTTTGTCTGCCTACCTGATTCCAGTAAGACCCCTGGGCACCTCAGTTAGTCTGTCTGTCAGTCTTTCTCAGCTTGAGCAGAAGAGGCGTATGATAAATTCTTGTTAGGCAGGACAACCATCAAGGGAAGGCAACTGGCATGTTTAACAGGTACTGTGAGTACCTGTTGAATTAATGTGTGAGTAGGTGGAATGGAAAGAGTAAGCAAAAAGCTGTTCCATCAGTGCACCAAGACTAGAAGCACTGGTCACAGTGGCTGATCTGACCCTCACCTGTGGTTCTGTGGTGACTGACATATGGCATAACGGAGACCTCGCACCTAAGGCCTCTCAAAGAGTGTGACCAGGCAGGCATCTGAATAGTCTATCTGAGGGGCACTGGCCCTTTGTATGTTGTGCCATCCTTCAAGGGTACACAGCACACATGTAGGAAGTCAGAGTTGGGAACTAATTAGTCAAAACCCATAGTTCCTGACTACAGGAAAGAGGGATTTTTCTGGTATTAAACCAAAATGCTCTCAAAATTTAAAAAAAAGGAAAAAGAAGCCCAGTCTTCCTGAGACTTGCATGTTGGCACCCTTGTCAGCCACTGCAGTTGCTGTGAACAGTTTTACACTCCTCCCTGCTTCCAACGCATCTGTTTCTAGTCAACTGAACTGGTTCCAGCTAGCCATTGCCTGCATTCAGCCACAGAGGCCCTGCTCCTGGACCTTCTGCTTCATGGCTATACCTATCCTGGCTAGATGGCATCATCTAATGCCCAACTAAGATGCTTATCAGCAATTCTTTCAGAGTTCCACACATTAACTGAGGAAAAACTGGACCGTCAGCCCTGACAAATGAGTTGCCATAGCCTTTCCAAAGGTCACCTCACCTAGAAACAACCCAGTCACGTACTCCTCAAAGACATCAAAAAGGAGGGCAAAAAGCCCATCAACCACTGTTTTCCAGAAACCTGATAAAGGAAAAGCACCTGATGTCCCTAAGAAAATTGTATATGTTCCACTTTTGTATCTTGAACACTTATTTGTGGGGGGACAATATGTATACGTCAACTAGTGGTTTATTATTGTTTCTTTTCTTTGAAAGTATGTACTATTTCTGCCCATCTTTCTATTCTGTTTTATCTTTCTCTAAATAAAAAAAAGAAAGAAAATCCAGTTTGACTATGAGTTACAAGAGCTATGAACACAAAAAATAAATGCTCCCTCTATCTTTGAGACACAAGGAATTCTGACTAGCCAAGCCTACTTCAACTTGATGTTCACCTCACCCTGTTGGGCCTGGAGGTATAAGGCAGACTGAGCTCTATCAAATTGGGCCCTGGCTAGCCCATGATCATTGAAATAGTTGGAGGCAAACCTTCAAATTTCCCGATAGACAATGGAACAGAACTCTCTGCCTTCAAAAGTTTCTTCTCTCAAAAAGTTAGCATCACTGGGACAAGTGAGATGCTCCTCTCTCTTCCCTTCTGCCAGGTACAAACTTGTAGCCTTGGAGGACATTTCACCAAACATGAATTCCTGGGTAAACCTGTCCCTGTACCACTTCTATGAAGTAGCCTCTTGTTCAAATTTAAAACAATCATCTGCTTTGCAACAAACCAGTCGCCTCCCTCTCATCTAACCCTACACTTTCAACTTTGACTGTTTCCTGAGAGGAACATGATATCTGCATTACTCAGAAACAGATAAACATAATCCTGAAGTTGTAAAAACTCTCCTCCCAGAGGTATAAAATACTCATCTCTGGGGATGATCATCAACCATGTCCCCTTAACACAACCCCATTACTGTCAGATGTCATGGAAAGTACAAACAGTCATGTAACTACACATTACCCTGATAGACAATTAGTTACCTTTTTACATGCCACCAACAATGCTGCCATCACCATGCATTCTGCGGTTCTCAACTCATACATTCTTTTTGGATTGTTATTCAACTGCCACAAAGGTTTGAGAACTCTCCCCTTATTTTCATGGAGGCCCTAGCAACAGATTTGGCTCTGGGACAGGTGGTTTCTCTGCTTTGTCATGGTCCTCCCAGAAACAAAAATGAGGCTTCAAAACGGCAAAATGTTTGTAGACTGTCAAACTGCTAAAACACACTTC